TACAACAACCTTCTCCCGCACACCACCTTCTCCCAAGGAACCCGTTCAGTCTGATGTTTGACCTTTTGGGGGGACGGGGGAGAGCTAATCGCCCGACGTTAACATTTGGCAAATGGGGGCACCAGGCCCTGCTCGCCCTCAAACGACCAACTTCCCAAAAGCAGCTCTAAGGCTGAGTCTTAGCTGGACCGACTTGGGAACCCTGGGCTGAACACATTTGGCCGTGGTTCAAAACCAAAGGGATCCCATTTTGGGGTAGGTGCACCATCCATTTTAGTCTATTTACTGGGGATTGGGATGTTTACTGGGGGTACCGGATTTTGACCCATGGCCATTTATGAACAATCTACATCTTCTAGTCTTCTTGCCAGAAAGCAGGAACCAGGTCACTCCCCTTGCCATAAATAGCTGCGGATCTCCGCCTTGTTAATGCTGTACATGTTTCTGGGATTACGACCATTTTAGTACCGATCGGTTTTGAAAGCGCGACTCACATGACTCGCAATCAAAATCCGTGTAGTTGGAGGGTGTGGGGGGGGCAATCCCCTTGCCAATTTATGGCTGCCTTCGCCGCCTTTCTTTTTTTAACTTACATGGTTCTGGGTAGGCCATGTGAATACCAGGTTTTGATTATGACTCACCTTTTCATGGCACCAGGACATTATTTGGTGAAATGATCTACATACATGGTTCTGGGTAGATCATTTTTTAATACCAGGTTTTGATTGTGACTCAAGGTGCGTTTTATGGGATTTGAACCCGTAAAGGGTTCGGGTGGACCCTTTTTGGCGGTTTTTGGACTCAACGGCAGGTGCTGAACACCTACACCCACAACGTGCCCCTCATCGTCGCGACCGATGCGGCGCCAGGCGGGACTTGCGAGCGCCGCCCTGGTTTACATTCTTTGGGAGATGGGTTCCCTTTTTATAAAGTGAACTCCTCTTTTTTGAGTCTCACCTGCTTTTTTTTCAACTGCCCTAGCCAGTGGTTGCAAGGGAGCCGTTACGGAGGCTAGGGGTATCCAACTGTGCCTTTAAAGAAGGAGCTGAGGAGCTACGAGAAGTTCGGCAAGGACATGGCTGTGGGTCAAAACCAATGGTACCATTTTGGGGTAGATGCACTACCCATTTTAGTCCATTTTAGTGGGGATTGGGATGTTCACAGGGGGTACGATTCGGATTTTGACCCATGGCCACATGGTGGTACCCTTTTTTGAGTCACACCTTTTGTTTTGCCAGGCTGTGAAAAGGTACGTGGGGGTTGATCCAAAGGTCCTTGCGAGAAGTTATTCGGTGACCCAGGGTGTCAAGGGTCGTACAGTATCTTTGCGCACACTTTTTGCTGTTGAAGTAGATGAGGCTTGCCAGTCAATTCCCCCCAAATATAGCGCAATCTAGCTTTCAAATTAGTTGTTTTACAAGCAGCTGCATGAATGAGGTCAATGGCGAGACATCACCTTAACACAGTCAGCAACCGGATGAAATACGTAGGTTTGCCGTTTTGCATGTAAGTTGGCCCTTGGCTTTCTATCACCCAGTGTCTTTGGCTCGGTTTTGCCAGCTCTTGATTGCAGAGAACCCATGCGTGTTTGGATCCGTTCTGGATATTTCAGCACTCATGGCTTTCAGTATTGTCTCCAAAAATGCTCAACATTTGGCAAAACCTGGGAGCTTGAAGCCTTGGTAGCCTTGAATGTTCGGTTTTGCTTTATTGGTTGCTGGTGTTCGATCGATATGGTCCGAGTCATAGTAACTTTCCCGGGGCTTCCCTTCGGAAACCTCATTGAGCGTGCAGGATGTGCTGCTCGTTATTGCTGCAGCAATTCTAGTTGACCCAAGTTTGGATCCATATTGTCCGGCGCCTTGGCTGGCGTTCAGGGAAAGCGAGCAGCCGACGTGCCCCGAAACCAGCAGACCAGGAAACATCCGCCAATGCTTCTGGTGTCCAAGCAGCAGTCACTTGCGCTGTGCACATGGGCTGGATACAGCGGCTTGGGCTTTGGGGCACAAGCTGAAAACCAAAACTCGCCGAAGCAGGGCTGATTTTTTCACAGGGCCTCACCGGAGCTGATTGGATTTGCAGCTTCACCGGCAGGTGACGCCGCCTTTCAGGACATTGTGAAGCATGCCAAAGCATCCAGGGTCTTGTCCACCGCCCAGGCGCGTGTCAGAAATGTGGTCGTGAGCCTTGAAAAGAGGAACTACTCCCAAGTTGCATGGCAACCGAAGTTTGCCACAATCATTTTCTGGGGTAGACTTAGGAGACATTTCGCATTTTACCAGTGACTCAAATTGAAGCAAACAATCAAACATACATTCTACAACTAGGTTGCCTAACTCAAATCATGTGTTCCAGTGGCGCTGGGTTTGCTTTGGCGCAACTTTATACTTTTTGGGAAGACCTTGTGGTAAACACCGCAACTGTTGCACCGCTTTGTTTGGGCCATCCACTGGGTAAGTGGCTTTGTTTACCAGTGCGGCTTTTCCTAAGAGTCCCGTCACGATTCATGTGAGTTCTGCCGTGAACAGCACGAGCTCACGGGTTTGTGCAAGCAAGACTCATGGGTTTGGTGGTTGGTTTGGATGAAGTTTGTCGGACGATTGCTGGTCAACCAACATGGATGAGGCCAATTTCCCCCAACAAAACAGTTTGTCGGGCTTGTTCTGAAGGGAAGCCGCCATTTTTGGGGCACCCCAAACGTACTTTACAGCTTTCCACCGGGGCAGGCGATTTCAAGGGCGGCTGTAGAGCTCCCCTTCTTTGTGGTAAGACCAATATTAGGGGTCAAAATTAAACCACCAGGGGACCGCAGGTTTAGGTCCATGTTTCCACTTACTAGGGCTTGCGCCATTTGGGGGTTACCCTATTTTTGACAACCACAGCCATATGTTTTCAGGGGGCAAGGAAGATGTGTCATTACAGAACTGTGTGAGGGCAACCAGAAGGCGTCCAAGTTCAGCTCTGATCCATCAAGTTCCAAGTGGTTGGTTTACTTTTGCTTTGCTCTCCCTGAGTTCCGTTTCGGACTTTAACTTTTGGGTTTGGACCATGTCAGTGGTAAACAGAAGGTTTGGACTTGTTCGGGCCAATCCACGGAAATGCTTTCCACTGCCATCTTTTCCAGACTGAGCTTTGAAAGGGTCCAAAACTGAGAAGTCGACACTTGAGTTGTTGACTGGTGTCGTTGAGCTCTTTGAACAATGATGGTCGAAACGACAGCCAAGTTTTCTCAAATGAGTGTTTCCAGAGCCAAACTCGGTGGCCAACATTGAGGGGTTTACTAATGGGGACCCCAGGTGGGTTAAAAAGGGGAGTTCCCCGAAAGTGAAGGGCTTCCTCTTAAAAGAGCCAACCCCTGACGTACAGATCAACCAGCGGTGGATTTTGAGCGGGTTGCAAAGGACAATCATATGTGTCGCTTCCTAGAATCCACTTGTTCGAACCCACTCCGTTGGTTTCCTTTGGTTTCTTTGACTTGTTTACTGGGGTACTTAGGAGACATTTTACATTTTATCAGTGTCTCAGATTGATTCAAGCAATAAAATGGACATTCTATAACTGGTTGCCTAACTCTAGTCATGGTTAGGTTCCTTTGGTCAAACCTTTCGTTTCCAGCGTCACTGGAGCCACTCCGCATCCCTTGCAGATGACCGGCGCGAAGCCGCGCACGCTGAAAGCGCCGCGGCCCTGGCAGTGAAACCCACCCGACCGACGGTGGCTCTGTGAGTTTCTCCAGTGGTTCAGTGGCCCCGAGTCTCTTTTTCCGACTTTTTTTTTTGGCGGCTGCCCCACTAAAATGGTCCAAGCCCAAAAAAGGGTTCCCTTTTTTTCCAGGGTCACTGAACAACTGAGATTTCCCTTCAAGCCAAGGTGTATTGGGTTTGGCTCAAAATTAAACAGCAGGGGTTACGCAGGTTTTGGTCCATGTTTCCACTTGCCAGGGTTCGGTTTTGGTACCGATTTTTGAGCCACAGCCAATTTCCCTTTCAAGCCACTACTGAGAATGTAAAACCTGAACAGAAACCAACAAATCGGCAATGGTTTCACTGGGAGCCAAGAGCCAATTCTCATTCCCTTCCTCTCTCTTGACTGCTCTTGGGCAACGGATCTTTAGACTTTAACTTTTTGGTTGAAATAAAGTTTGGTTTTCCGTATTAACCCCCCAAAAAATGATTCACTTTTTGCAGGGGGGTTCAAGAGCAACCAAGCTCTCTCCTGTCCCTCAGGTCAAGGGTACCTCAAAAATCACATCCCTCAGGTCAAGGGTACCTCAAAAATCACATTCCTCAATGGAATTGTGGGGGGGGGAACACTTGATGGCACAGTTCCATGTTTTGGGCAAGTAAGGGGACAGTGTTGCCTGAATGGGGGAAATAGCGAAGTTGTGGCATTCTCCCAACTAGTGACAAGGAATCGGACTGGGGAGGGGGGGGTTCCTGGCATGGTTATTTCTTTCAAAGGACTCTTTGATAAGTTCCCTATGAGTGGGAAATGTTGGATGGTTTGACCAGGGCTTTTCGCTTTTCGCCTGCAAGCTTCCATTTGCTTAAGAATATGTTTTATCTTCCCTGCTGGACGTATGTCCTCATTTTTCCAGGGCGCACAAAACCAAATGGAGGCAAATCCAAGCTGAGCGGATCTTGTTTGAGCAGCTGTTGTCAACATGTCAGAAACGCTAGGGGTTGGCCCAAGGCCGGCCCCTCACAAGCATCACCTTGCGGTGCTTCCTTTGAGGCACCTGATTGGATTCCCTAAAGAGGAAAGAGGGCTTCCTGATTTTTCTGGGGCAGCACCCTGAAGCGGGTCCCAGGGTCCCAGCATCAGAAACTGTTCATGATGCATTGTGCTTTTTGAAAAGCCTCAAACATGGATGTGCGCCAGTGTCGAAAATACTGCTGCCCCCCCCCCGTGCACATCGTGTCACACATCTACTAGCCATTTTGGAAGGCAGGCAACAGATTTGGTACCTCTCCAGGCATTCGGAACATGTCGTTCGCCGAACATTGCAAGCTTATCCAAGCATGCACGGTCACGGTTGTGTATCCCCCAAAATGGCTTTGGTGTCCCTTTGGTCTCCCAACTCCAAAAAAGGCAAGTCTGTACCCTCCCACCGATAAAAATGGGGTACCTGGAAGATGGAAAAAGATGACTGTTTGGCGCCGTTTTGCGCGCCCAGGGCGCTGTTGGACCTGATTCTTTGTGCAGAAGCGGGAACCTTCATCGGCCAGGGCCGTAGCGGGATGGTTTTAAAGGGACTCCAAAAGGAAACCACCATTTGCGGTGGGTCCCCTAAAAAACACAGACCCATTTCATTCGTGTCGCCATCGTCTTTGTTCGCGGTTTCAAGCAGATTTGGACCTTTAGGTGGTGTACGACAGCTGCGAAGCATTGGAAATGGCGGCTTTACCCGGCGCAAGCAGTAAGCCCAGTAGTCCTCATATTTCGACCGTTTGAAGTGGTTGAACATCACCTGGACGATTTTGACATGAGTTTCCCTTTTCCTTTGGGGCTGATCTGATTATCTGAGTGTTAAAAAGGGATACGGTATACTGAGTGTGCTGCAGGAAAAGTGTTTTTCAGCCTTCCCAACTCAGGCCAAGACGTGCATTCAAGGCACCACAAAACCAAGCGCACGCATCTGAAGCCCATCTCGGCGGAGTTCTTGACTCTGTTGGTGCGTCTTTTTTGAGGTTGGCGCCCCCCGCAACTGGCTTGGGTTTTCCTTTTTCGCTTAAACCATGCAAAAAAGGCATGCCACCTCCAAACAAGACGAGCCACCCATGTGATTCTCGATTGTTTCGCCAAAAAGCAGCGCCGAAGCATGGGTTGCCTCTGGTGGGAGTTGCAGGTTTCGGTTTAATTTGATACGGGCCGGGAGCTTCGTAGATTTCTGATGGAAGGAAACTTTGCGCGGACTCCCGAAGTTCCTTCGCTTTATGCTTGTCGGGAGGACAGCTGAAAGCTATGGCGCCTTCGCCCAGATAAGCTCTCGGGTGGTTTGGGGCAGTTTTCAGGGAGGGTTCCGGAGGGTTCTAGGTCCGGGACTGTTGGGGAGCTTTGGATGCCTTTTGGGGGGACTGAGCTTGCACGGCTCAGGTACGCCTGACTCGACCTTCTCCAACTCCATCCACACCTTGTCTCACGCTGAGTCAGAAACAGAAATGTACTTGATCCGTCCTGTTGCTCGTTGCAAGTATGAATCTATTGACGACACTGTGTTATATTGCAGATGTGCCAGATGTTCAATGCATGGCAAACTCTGACCAGCGCACTGCAAGCCCAGGCGTCGAAAGATGGAGATCTGCCGACAGAGCCTCGCATGCAAGCAGACCTGAAAGCGTGAGGCCATCAGCAACTCAGGAAATATGACATATGCATCAATATAAAAGTGCCTTTTATATGCCATAACCATTTGTGTGTAGATTTGTCATAATATGTACATCCTACCATAAACATACCGGACAAAATCCTGCACCACCTTGAAATTCCATGGGAAACCATGGCTGGTTGTCAAATCATTCCGGGGGTCCTTAGGTGGTGTGAATTGGATTTCGTCCATCCACAGTATTTGGAGGGTTTGATTCCACAGAAGTTCAATGAGTTGCTGTCGCTCTTTGTTTCCTCAGGCAGCCGGATCCAGAGAGGCGAGCGGCAGTGTCCTTCCTCAGCGTGAAGCAGGCGGGCGGAGTGCGGAGTTCGGGTGGCCCCCGACCAGCGGCGAAGCAAGTTACCGCAAGCACTCCAGGGTTGTTTGGGTCCCCAAGTTGTGCCCTTTGACCGTTTCTTTTCTTGGGGGGGGTGTTTTTCCTACTACATGGTTGTTGTTTGGAAACATTTGAATCATTTTTGCTTATTGTGGTTTAGTGGGAAATCCAACCACGTAGCTGCTGAAATTTGAGAATTGCTGCTCCCCAAACCCAGCGTCAACCAAGACTAAAATAGGCTACAGAAAAAACAAGTTGGTACCCTTATTCTAACCTCTCAAATCTGGAGGACCTTGTGTGAGGGAACGGTTCAGGTCGGATCGCTGTGTGTCAGGTTGTTTCGCTCGAGAGCGATTGCCTTTGAGAATGATCTTCATTTGAAGAGCACTCTAAGAGGGCATTCGTCAACGGAAGGGCAGCAATGAGTTGGCGTTGCGAGTGTTTTTTGTTTTTCTCGTAAGTGACACAGGTGCAACCTTTCTGGGTTGCATTTGTCAAGTGCATGTTGCAAGAGTTGCATGGTCCAGGTGAGTTTTGGGATTGCTCAATTGCCAACAACCAGGAATGACTTTGACAAGGGTGAACACATGTGCCCGGGAATTCGATCTGACCAGGAGGAAGTTTGTCCTTTATCTCCTTTGCTCGGATGCTTTGTTGAAACACGACAAGCACCAAAAAGCATGGCATCGATTGTTCAACAGTTTGGTTGGCTCAGCTGCATTCTGGCATCTTTAGTTACTGAGCCTGCAGCTGCTGGATTTCATTTCAACGTGCGGTTCTGTTCCCCTACCTCCTCATATGCAGTCACAAATTTATCTACAATTAGTTTGTTTGTTTGTTTGCCTGCCTGAACTGTTGTTCAAGTGCAGCCGGTCGAGAGGTTTCTTGAACTTCAGCTGTTCAACTCTTCAAGTTTCTTCAAGTTTCTTCAAGCATGGAAACTCTCACAGAGCTTGGTCAAGGTTCCCTAAACCTAGGATTGAACGATTTTCTTTCTTCAACCGAAGCCTTCGGCCCCCAACGGCTTGCCCCTTTGGGGCTCTCGTCTCGTCTCGTCCTCTCGTCGTCTGCCAGACGGTTCGCCGTGGGCAGCTGAAGCTTCAGAACCTTTGGTTCCAGGAGAGCCAAGTGCTCAACGCCCGGGTAGACGAAGGTTACTTCCATTTGCTTAAGAATATTTTGTTTATTTCCCCCTGTTGGTTTGAAAGGGACTCGATTTCACCACTGGAGATATGTTTCATTTTTTCCAGGGGCCTTAAGCAAATGCAAGGTTAGGGACAATCCCCTTGCCAGAAATCGCCGCGGATTATTTGCCTTCTTAATTCTTGAAGCGTGGTTAATGCAGATCGGTTTTGAGTATGACTCAGGAGAGTTTCGTTGTGAAACCCGAGTCCCACTAGCCACCCATCTGTCCGGTTCCGCAGCTGTTTAGCTTTGTAATTCGGGCTTAGTGGTTGGGGTGTCCAAATTTCACCTGCTACAACTTATTTTTTTGGCAGGGGCTCAGAAAGCGGACAGAGAAGTTTGGAGGGGTCCATTTCAGATTGGGCCCACGGATTTCCCGTTTGATGCAAGTCCCCTGGAACACATGTGTACCCTTCCTCCCACCAACATCGCATGTGTGGCAGTGTGTAACTGCAAGATCAGTTTCTAGGTCCCCCAGCTAGGTGCCCTTTCTCACCCCCTTTTTGGTTAGGAGGGTTCCCCTACTAAAATAGACAAAACCGAGAAAAAAAAGTTGGTACCAACTTATTCTAATCTCGCTACTGGAGGACCTAGGTTTCCTCAAGGGACCCCCTGTCAGGTGGGAGGAAGGGAAATCAGTGCGTGGTCCACTTCTTGTGGCCCTCACAAGCTTTACGTACATTTGCTTAGTTGTTTTTGTCTCTCTTTTTTTTTTTTTTAATAGAGCAAAACACTATTGTTGGTTTTAATGGGAATCTACCACTGCTGTTTTTGTTTTTCTCCCGGGGGCTTCAGCAAATGGAAGTTTCACCTGCCAGGAGGGCCAGCTCAGTGTGGTGGGCAGGGCGAGCGCTTCGCAGCTGTGGCTAAATGGCGCGCGCTGGAAGGGGATGTTTTTATTGCCAGACCCGCTCGATAGAGGGATGGGGGGGGTTCTACTTGCATTCTTCAAGGGGGGGGGGGGGGCTTGATTAATCGACGGACGGGGGCCTCACTAATTGAAGGGGGGGGGGGGGAGCTTCATTAAGGGGGGGGGGGGCTTCATGACTTGAAGGGGGGGGATTTCATCAAGGGGGGGGGGGGCTTCATTAATTGAGGGGGAGGGGGGGCCTCACTAATTGAAGGGGGGGGGGGAGCTTCATTAAGGGGGGGGGGGGGGGGGTTTCATTAATTGAGGGGGAGGGGGGGGGGGTAACAAATCTACGGGGAGGGGGTTTCATACAAGGCGGGGTTTCATTAAGGAGGAGGGGGGCTTATTAAGGGGGGGAGGGACTCGAAGTGGGGGGGGGCCGGAGAGGTTTCGTTAAGGGGGGGGGGGGAGGAATTAATTCAGGGGAGGCTTAATTAATGCTGGAGGGGGAGTTTCATGAAACTCGAAAGAGGGGGGGCTTGCATAAAGGAAGGCGGGCCTTATTAACAAGCATTTCTTTTTTGTTTGTCGAGTCAGGGCGATCCGTTTGTGCATGGTGCTTCAACACGTGTTTCCGGGCGATCCGTTTGCGCATGGTGTTCCAACACGTATTTTGGCTTGCATCAAGGGAGGGGAGGGCTTCATTAAGACGCATGATGAAATTGCGTGGCGAGGCATGCAAAGCAGAGCCGGAGCGAAGCCGGAGCGGAGCCGGAGCGAAGCCGGAGCAACGCCGGAGCGGAGCCGGAGCTGAGCCGAGCGGAGCCGGAGCGGAGCCGGAGCTGAGCCGGAGCGGAGCTGAAGCGGAGCCGGAGCGGAGCCGGAGCGGAGCTGGAGCGGAGCCGGAGCGGAGCCGAAGGCGGAGCGGAGGCGGAGCGGAGGCGGAGCGGAGGCGGAGCGGAGGCGGAGCGGAGGCGGAGCGGAGGCGCAGCGGAGGCGCCGCGGAGGCGGAGCGGAGGCGCGGAGGCGGAGCGGAGGCGGAGCGGAGAGCGGAGGCGGAGCGAAGGCGGAGCGGAGGCGGAGCGGAGGCGGAGGTCCACGGCTGCCGTCAAACCACCTGCAATCCTCACAGAAACGTTTGTTTTCGAGCGGAGGCGGAGCGGAGGCGGAGCGGAGGCGCAGCGGAGGCGCAGCGGAGGCGGAGCGGAGGCGCAGCGGAGGCGGAGCGGAGGCGGAGCGGAGGCGCAGAGAGGCGGAGCGAAGGCGGAGCGGAGGCGGAGCGGAGGCGGAGGTCCACGGCTGCCGTCACACCACCTGCAATCCTCACAGAAACGTTTGTTTTCGAGCTAGAAACTAACCTTTCGGCCCCTGGTCTATTTAGGATACTGGAAACAAACAAACTTTTCTTCCCAAAGTTAGTTTCGCAAGAATCAACAAAGGTTTGCCGAGGCCCGGGGAATAGTTTGTTTATCCTCAATAAACAAACGTTTTCTGGGAGACTTAGTTTGTTTCTGGCCGGGGGGGGGGTCCAGGCCACCAAAGCCAGCCCTGGGAAACCTTAGTTTGGTTTCGAAAACAAACCCCTAGAATGCAAGAGCCTCCCCCCTTAAAGATAGGGGGGGGGGGGGGGGCTTCATTAATTGAGGGGGAGGGGGGGGGGGTAACAAATCTACGGGGAGGGGGTTTCATACAAGGCGGGGTTTCATTAAGGAGGAGGGGGGCTTATTAAGGGGGGGAGGGACTCGAAGTGGGGGGGGGCCGGAGAGGTTTCGTTAAGGGGGGGGGGGGGGGGTGGAATTAATTCAGGGGGGAGGCTTTTTATGATGTGAAAAGAAATATTAATGCTGGAAGAGGGGGGAGTTGCATGAAACTCGAAAAAAGAGGGGGGGCTTGCCTTAAAGGAAGGCGGGCGCCTTATTAACAAGAATTTCTTTTTTGTTTTGTCGATCAGGGGCGATCGTTTGTGCATGGTGCTTCAACACGTGTTCGGGCGATCCGTTTGCGCATCATGGTAGTTCAAAGTATTTTGGCTTGCAGGAAGGGAGGGGGAGGGCTTCATTAAGGACGCTGATGAAAATTTGCGTGGGAGGCATTGCAAAGCAGAACAGGGAGCGAAGGCCGGAGCGGAGAGCCGTGAGCGGAAGCCGGAGGCAACGCCGGAGCGGAGCGGAGACTGAGCCGAGCGGAGCCGGAGCGGAGCCGAGAGCTGAGCGCCGGAGCGGAGCTGAAGCGGAGCCGGAGCGGAGCCGGAGCGGAGCTGAGAGCGGAGCCGGAGGCGGAGCGAATGGCGGAGCGGAGGCGGAGCGGAGGCGGAAGCGGGAGCTGGAGCGGAGGCGGAGCGGGAGGCGGAGCGGAGGCGGCAGCGAGGCGCGCGGAGGCGGAGCGGAGGCGCGCGGAGGCGGAGCGGAGGCGGGAGGCGGAGCGGAGGCGCAGTCGGAGGGCCGGAGCGAAGTCGGAGCGGAGGCGGAGCGGAGGCGGAGGTCCACGGCTGCCGTCAAACCACTGCAATCCTCACTAGTAACGTTTTGTTTTCGGGCGGAGGCGGAGCGGAGGCGGAGCGGAGGCGCAGCGGAGGCGCCGCGGAGGCGGAGCGGAGGCGCAGCGGAGGCGGAGCGGAGGCGGAGCGGAGGCGCAGCGGAGGCGGAGCGAAGGCGGAGCGGAGGCGGAGCGGAGGCGGAGGTCCACGGCTGCCGTCAAACCACCTGCAATCCTCACAGAAACGTTTGTTTTCGAGCGGAGGCGGAGCGGAGGCGGAGCGGAGGCGCAGCGGAGGCGCAGCGGAGGCGGAGCGGAGGCGCAGCGGAGGCGGAGCGGAGGCGGAGCGGAGGCGCAGCGGAGGCGGAGCGAAGGCGGAGCGGAGGCGGAGCGGAGGCGGAGGTCCACGGCTGCCGTCACACCACCTGCAATCCTCACAGAAACGTATTGTTTTCGAGCTAGAAAACTAACCTTTCGGCCCTTCTGGTCTATTTAGGATACTGGAAAACAATCAAACTTTTCTTCCCAAAGTTAGTTTCGCAAGAATCAACAAAGGTTTGCCGAGGCCCGGGGAATAGTTTGTTTATCCTCAATAAACAAACGTTTTCTGGGAGACTTAGTTTGTTTCTGGCCGGGGGGGGGGTCCAGGCCACCAAAGCCAGCCCTGGGAAACCTTAGTTTGGTTTCGAAAACAAACCCCTAGAATGCAAGAGCCTCCCCCCTTAAAGATAGGGGGGGGGGGGGGGGCTTCATTAATTGAGGGGGAGGGGGGGGGGGTAACAAATGGCTACGGGGGGAGGGGGGGGGGGGTTAACAAACTAAGGGGGGTTTCATTAACATAGTCAAGGCGGGCTTATTTCATTAGGGGGAGGAGGGGAGGGGGGGCGGGGTTTCATTAAGGAGGAGGGGGGCTTATTAAGGGGGGGAGGGACTCGAAGTGGGGGGGGGCCGGAGAGGTTTCGTTAAGGGGGGGGGGGGAGGAATTAATTCAGGGGAGGCTTAATTAATGCTGGAGGGGGAGTTTCATGAAACTCGAAAGAGGGGGGGCTTGCATAAAGGAAGGCGGGCCTTATTAACAAGCATTTCTTTTTTGTTTGTCGAGTCAGGGCGATCCGTTTGTGCATGGTGCTTCAACACGTGTTTCCGGGCGATCCGTTTGCGCATGGTGTTCCAACACGTATTTTGGCTTGCATCAAGGGAGGGGAGGGCTTCATTAAGACGCATGATGAAATTGCGTGGCGAGGCATGCAAAGCAGAGCCGGAGCGAAGCCGGAGCGGAGCCGGAGCGAAGCCGGAGCAACGCCGGAGCGGAGCCGGAGCTGAGCCGAGCGGAGCCGGAGCGGAGCCGGAGCTGAGCCGGAGCGGAGCTGAAGCGGAGCCGGAGCGGAGCCGGAGCGGAGCTGGAGCGGAGCCGGAGCGGAGCCGAAGGCGGAGCGGAGGCGGAGCGGAGGCGGAGCGGAGGCGGAGCGGAGGCGGAGCGGAGGCGGAGCGGAGGCGCAGCGGAGGCGCCGCGGAGGCGGAGCGGAGGCGCAGCGGAGGCGGAGCGGAGGCGGAGCGGAGGCGCAGCGGAGGCGGAGCGAAGGCGGAGCGGAGGCGGAGCGGAGGCGGAGGTCCACGGCTGCCGTCAAACCACCTGCAATCCTCACAGAAACGTTTGTTTTCGAGCGGAGGCGGAGCGGAGGCGGAGCGGAGGCGCAGCGGAGGCGCAGCGGAGGCGGAGCGGAGGCGCAGCGGAGGCGGAGCGGAGGCGGAGCGGAGGCGCAGCGGAGGCGGAGCGAAGGCGGAGCGGAGGCGGAGCGGAGGCGGAGGTCCACGGCTGCCGTCACACCACCTGCAATCCTCACAGAAACGTTTGTTTTCGAGCTAGAAACTAACCTTTCGGCCCCTGGTCTATTTAGGATACTGGAAACAAACAAACTTTTCTTCCCAAAGTTAGTTTCGCAAGAATCAACAAAGGTTTGCCGAGGCCCGGGGAATAGTTTGTTTATCCTCAATAAACAAACGTTTTCTGGGAGACTTAGTTTGTTTCTGGCCGGGGGGGGGGTCCAGGCCACCAAAGCCAGCCCTGGGAAACCTTAGTTTGGTTTCGAAAACAAACCCCTAGAATGCAAGAGCCTCCCCCCTTAAAGATAAAGCTGCGCTTGTTCAAGCCTCCCCGCCCTTGAGATTTTCGTGGGGGTAGCAAGCATCAACCCAAGGCAATTTCCCTGGAACAATTTGCTCTTCCTGGATGACGAAGTAAAACCCCCGTTGAGACGCAAGGCCCCCCCCCCACCATAATGAAGCCCCCCGCCTTTGATAAAGCTGCGCTTCATCAAGCCCCCCCCCCCCTTGATGAAGCTGCGCTTGTTCGAGCCCTCTTGATAAAGCTGCGCTTGTTCAAGGCCTCCCCCCTTGATGAAGCTGCGCTTGTTCAAACCCTCGCCCCTTTCCTTGATAACGCTGCGCTTTTCCAGCTTCCCGACCCTCTGATAAAGCTGCGCTTGTTCAAGCCTCCTAGACCTCCCCGCTGGATAAAGCTGCGCCTGTTCAACGCCTCCCCCTTTGATAAAGCTGCGCTTGTTCGAAGCCCCCCCCCCCTCCCTTGATAAAGCTGCGCTTCTTCAAGCCCCCCCCCCCCCCTTAACATCTTCCCGAGGGGGGGGGAGGGTGCCAACCCAAGGCATCAACCCCCCCCCCCTTGATTAACTCCCGCCCCCCCCTTGAGAATGAAGTAGAACCCCCCCCACCCCTTCCAATCGAGGCGGTCTCTTTATTGCCAGACTTCACTTGGCGGTTCCCAGCAGTCCCCTTAATTGTTTAGGGGTTGGTGGGGTTTGGCAGCCAGGCTTTTATTGCCAGACTTTACTTGAGCCACGTGCTCAAAACCGATTCGGGTAGATGAAGGTTAGCAAGGGGTAGTCCCAGCCGGAAATAGCTGCGGTCGCCTTCTTCATTCATTACATGGTTCTGGGTAGAGCATTTTAGTACTGTTTTTTGTTGTGACTCACTTGGCGGTTCCCAGCCCTCCTCTTAGTTGTTTGGTTCTTTTAGGGTTTGGTGGGGTTTCCATTGAACTCACAAGTTAAACTAGTGGCAGATCCGAAAACGGACACTTGTGGTGTTCCTTCATTTACCCTTTGGAACTAATTGAGCTGTTTCCAGGCCAAAGTCTGGCCCGAGTAACTGATAGCAAATGATTTGTTGGTACGCTTCCAGTAATTCTGGTTCTGGAGATAGGCCCAAACCATAGAACAGATTCTGCAACAGGAGATAGGCCCAAACCATAGAACACGTAGAAGCTGCCCAAATGTATTTGCCTACGTGGAATTTGGGAGTCCTTATGACCGCCATGGCGTCAGATCGTCGTGAAGTTGAAGCTGGGGAGCGCTTGTTGGCCCCCGATTTTTCGTCCGCGTTTGGCGGGCAATTAGACCCTGGGTCTGCCAAAGGGGCCCGAAGATTTTCGCGAGAATTGGCAAGAGGACATGGAAGTGGGAGTTATATTGGCCACCAGGGCACCGGATTTAGTCCATCTGCCTGGGCAGCCCATGTTGGGTTTACCACCTATGTTTGACCCACAAATGAAGGATAAGCGAGGAGGTGTTGCAAGTGAAGGCCGTTAGGGAGGATGGGCTTTGATGAACCCGGTGTCGAACGGCAAATGGCGGGATACGGATGGTTGGGTAAGTGGGAGATGGTTGTATTGTCATACCACCTCCTGGGTTTTTCTCGTAGTTTTGTTCACCTGGGACATATATTTTTCACCTTGAAGACTATCCACGAAAAGATGGATCAGCCTTGGCACCACTTTTTCACCTCCAGCCTCTTCTCAGCTGCGGCCTCTTTTCAACCTTTTTTCATCGAGGAAGTGGAGGCTTCTTGAGGGGGAAAACGTCCCGCGCGGCCCGAAATCCTCCCTAAACCAAACTCAGTTTCTAGGTCCCCCAGCTAGGTGCCCTTTCTCACCCAACTTTTTTGGGGGGAGGGTTCGGGACCCTACTAACATAGACAGAAAAAGGTGGTACCCTTCTTCTAACTTCTCAAATCTGGAGGACCTAGTAGACCACCACAAAACAAACAGCCCAAGACAATCCCACAGCACTGGACAAGCATTCCCCACCCAAAGCCCATCCTAAACCCACACTGAGCCAACTCAGGACAACCCTGAACCAACCCTAAACCCGCCCTGAGCAAACCCCCCCAAAAAAAAACCCTCCTAAACCGCAACACTGCAGCCACCCCAAACAGGCAACGGTGCAGGAAAGGGTGCAAGGGCAATAGAATTGGTTGCCCAGCCCTGTTGATGCAAGCACATGTACCTCGGAACTCCACAATCGTGTGAGACAAGCTCACCTCAAATATTCGAAGATTAGCGCAATAGGGCTGTGGGGACAGAGCTATCCAACTTATTTTGCGGGTGGTAAGCTTGATAGAGCGAAGCTACTAGTTTGGTCGTTAATGACTGCCACCAGATACATGTGGTTGGCACACTGAAACTAATTACAACTGGCATTCCCTTATGGAAATATCATAAATTAGTTTTATAGCCCTGTCCCAAGTCCCAAGTCTCATTCTTCAGCCCCTCACATAGCACACTGGAGAACCACCTCCAAGGCAACTCCAGATGCCACAGAATCCGATGATGTGCTGGTCCCGGGCTCAGATTTGACTGCGGAGCCTGCAGGGTTTCTATGGCACGCGGGTGCCTTCTTATTGCCGCCTTTGGCCTTGGCAATGCCATACCTTCAGGAGCATAGGTATCCTTTTTAGGTTAGTTTGATGAAAAATAGATGGGTTCCACTGGTTTAGATGGGGTTTCTTCCATTTACCAGGGAAACCCATCTAATGTTCCAAAAGGCCACCTATGTCAAGGAGTAGAATTGGTGGCAAAGGCGAGGGCAGGTACCTTGTTAAATACCGAGCGGAGTTGGGCAGCGCAGGTTGCGATCCATTGATTTGGCTGTGGTTGTCAAATGCTAACCTTTTGGGGTAGGTGACTTCACCACCCATTTTTTTATAAAAAAAAATGGGGATTGGGATGTTCACTGGGGCTACGATTCGGATTTTGACCCATGGCCATTTGTTGACTCTTGGGTCGAGGAATCCGCCGAAAAGCCAGAGTAGTTGCAGACATATTGACATGACTGTGGCCACGAAAGAGGTACTATTTGCGACAACCCAGAAGCAAGTTCAATACTGTTTGGGTAGAAGCAACTGAGATTCAGGTACTCATATCACTCTTGCTTGCATTCTCCAGGTCAAGAAGGGAAGCCTCTGTACTAAATGCATTTGCAAGTGGCACAAACCGACCTGAAGACCTGAACTTCGCGTGTTTTTGGGTGCCTGAGCAAGGCCGGCCTCTCTGGGTGAGCGCGGCAAATCAGAGGGAAAGAGATGTAAAAGCGATCAACTCACCATAAATATGGGAGAACCAGGGTACCCTCCTCCAGGCGAGCCCGAAATGGAAGACTTGGTTCCATTTACAAGAGCCTTCTGAGAGCTTCCATGTTAGTCTTATCCAAGATCTGCATGTTTTGTTCATGACTAGCAGTGGAAAGCAACAAATCAGGACACTGGCAAGCTAAACAAATCAAACGGCACACATGGTAATCAAGGCTGACGAAATATATGGGGATGCCAATGGTAAACTCGCCAGAAAACAAGCGGCACTGGTGAACTCGTGAATAAACAGATATCAATCATAAGCTCATCTCAGAACAGCTAACACTGACATATGTCCCTTTAAAATTGGTTGACAATGGTAATTTGTCCAGAAGAAAGGTGCGTTATGGCAAGCTCGCCATTAAGGTTACACGGGTAAACTCAGCTGGCCAAGGTGTAACAACGTTGGATCGCCGCGGCAACAAACTCACAACCGGCAAACGCGCTGTCCGAAATGATGAGCGTGCTATAGAACGAAAGCTCGTCGCGGTATGTTATTTTAACAGAAATGATTAGTTTACCAAACCTGCACGGCGAAGATTCGTAACATGCCAAAGGCCGGGGTCTTTGTCTTAGCGTTTCCCAGCCGTCCCCAGAGGTGTTTCGGGTTTTAGTTGGTCTAGTGCTTGGGTTTCCTGGCTCTCAAGAGTCCCTTTTCTCGCCGCAAGGGGGAAAAAAGCAAAGCCAAGGCAAGAACCCGGTCGTCCACGGCCAAACGCGGAAAAAGATTAAAAAGAGAGAACGGACCAAAACAAAGGCCGAAGAAGACCAAACACAAAATCACCCGGCGGCGGGTTCTGAAAACCGGCGGGGCGGTGGGTTGGATTCGTGCGCGTGGGCCGTCAGGACCCTTCCCCAGAATTAGCTCCCCTTTTTGCTGAACTTATTGTTCCGCTTTTTTTTGGGTTTTGTTTGTTTTCCACTCACCAGGCAAAAAACATATATATATTCTTTTTGGCTGGGGTCCCTTTTCTCCAGCCGTCAGGACCAAGGTGGCTCAGTTCTCAGAGCTCCCGCCTGGAGCGGCGCCCCTTGGCCTCGAGAGAACCGCGGTTTGTCGCGGGGTGCGCTCGCGCGGCGAGTCGCCAGAGGGGGGCGGGGTGATTTTTTTTGGGGGATCCGTGAAGACCGAAAGGGAACCAATAGGAGAACCGTTGCGGCTTTCTTCTTGTTTTTTATTTGGGGGTTTTGGTTCTAAAAGAAAGCTTGGGTTTTGGTCCGTAGGTGTCAACTTATAGGTGAGTTTGGTTGAAAATAGATGGGCTCCACTGGTTTAGATTGGTTGTACAAACCATTTACCCGGGCAACCCCCTCTATTTCACCAAACGGACACCAAGAAGAGAGCCGAGCCGCGCAGCTGGGGGTATCTAATTCGGATTTTAAAGTGGGATCCTTTCGTATGAGGAGTTCTGTAAGGGCGTAGCAAAGTGGTGGACTGAATCCCCACCATTGATGAGAGAGAGAGAGAAAGATACTAGGTCCCCCAACTAGGTGCCCTTTCTCACCCTCTTTTGGTTGGGAGGGTTCGGGACCCTACTAAAATAGACTACAGAAAAAAAGAGGTACCAACTTATTCTAACCTCTCTACTGGAGGACCTGGGATATGGGGCCCTCCAAGGTTCTCAGAACCCTTCGATAGGGAGAAGGTTCAATCGGGGAGGGGTCTATCGCTACATAATATGTCTGATGTTCAACACGGCTTTCCTAGAAAGGGCTGGACACAAAAAGGGTCCCAACATGTAGGAAGAGACGTCAAGACAGGCATGCTAATGTTGACTTCGGATTCAGTTGGAGGACTCCACTAGTCAGAGGAAGCCCCTACAATAGATCATTTCCTTACCACAAGGCAACCTCTCCTGCTGGTATGGTCCTCAGGAATAGTCCGAAGTTCACCTTACCTGTTGGGCTACAAAAAATATATAATACGTCCCTTGTGGTTTCATTTATAGACATGTCAGGGTTCTTAGGTTTTCGCCATAGTTTTCGCAGGTTTTCGCAGGGCGTTCCTGTCGTTTTCCAATTTTTGGCTGCCCCCCCCCCTGTCCACTCCAGTGGTTTTCCTACACTTCTTCCAATGTTCCTTAGGATTGCTTGCCACAACACACCATTCAGGGTCAAGAAAGCCAAAGGAAAGCTACTGGAGTCATCTAACCTGCATTTTGGGTGAAGGGACCCCAATTTGAAGATGCCAATGTTTGTGTAAAATGGTTGAGCAAGCCCTCCAACAAGCACTTGCCAAGGAAAACCTGCCAAATGGACGACTTGCTGTGAGCCGGAGGAAGATGGCTCCGAAGGGAAGAATGCTGGCAAAACCACAGAGGACCAGTACAACATACCGCGCCAATCGAGCTGCAGTCAAATTGGATGCCATTTATTGCACGAGGATAGAAGCCAATGTGTGTGGTGACAAGGTGAGATTGAGCGTCCATTCCCTTCGGATGAACATGAATCAGCCAAGGCACGACAAAGAGCGTGTAAAAGTACAAGCCGCAGCCTCCACCAGCCCATCCTGACAGTCAGTCCAAAATAGATTGATACATGGTTGTTGTTGGGAAACATTTTACATTTTTGCTTATGGTTCAGTGGAAAATTCCCACTTAGCTGCTAAAATTTAAATTGTTGCTCCCCTTCCAACGTCAACCAAGGATATACAACATGCTGCCTTGTTGGTTGTGCCACTCTAAGATGGTTTCCGCTGCCCCCAACTACCGCTGAGGTTTACGGCGGATATACAACCACGATACAGCCATTATACAAAGTCTATGTACGGCATGTGACCCATTTTCCACCGGGGAAGTGGTTTGCGGACTTAGTGGTTATACTTTTCGGTGCGGCTCGAAGGGTACACGGTAGGCACACTTTGTTGCTATTATGGTTCATCTCAAGAATCAGCTGACCTTTGCTCCTCAATGAGACACCAGCCCACACACACACATTCCAATTCTGCCTGAGTTGGGGTTGTGAGGTACTTTGAAATCCGATTTAGTGGTGATGCAAGGCGTAAGCCATTAGTTGTTACGGTGTGTATGTGTGTCTGTGTCATCCAAGGTGGGCATATGCTGGGAGTCTGATTGGCAGTTGTTTGCTTTGCAGTGCCAACCTATGTGTTCGTGTGTCATGACCTGGCGATGACTCTCACAAGAAGCGAGACCTGCGATTCATCCAGACGGTTTGTTCCAAGAATTCTTCGCAACGGCAATGCCGGCCTGTCCATGGGAAAGATTTCTATGCCATTGGCCTTTTGTCTTTGTGAACGCAAGATGGACCCCGCGCAGTTTAGTTTACAGCGAGCTCACCTGGGGGTGAAACCTCTTCGGGGATTCCTTGTCGGTTTGTGAATCATAGTGATGGAACAAATCTGGCAGTTGGTGAACAGGTGCTTTGTCCAAAGGGCATCCATCCCCAGTGCAGTATTTGTCCAACCGGCGTGCTGGCCTTGATGCCTTCCGGCTTGCTTGATCCATGCAGCTGAGTTGTTTGCGACAGCAATATGTGCAGAGCAGGTACAACCGCTGCAACTTATGCGGGCAGGGTGACAAGCAATAAGCCCTGAAGTCTAGGAGTGCATGTTTGCAACGGGTAAAGAGGGAAGAAAATCGTTCAGCCTGCAATCCATCCATCCTGGCAGTTGCCGGATAGGTCTTGTAGGCACAAGCCAAGCCCCACAATTCAGGATGAGAGGCGCTTTGGGCAGATGAGAGGCAGATTCTTCGGCCAGAACTAGGGCGCAGAGCTGACGGCCGACCGGAGCCGACCGGAGCCTGTTTTTCCCCGGTTGCGTCATGCCATGATATGGCGAGCGCGCCGGCCGAAGGCTGGGTCGATTTTGGGACACGGGTTGGTATTCCCGATCATTCCTTCAGGGCATGGTTGTTGTTGGGAAACATTTTACATTTTTGCTTATTGTGGTTTAGTGGGAAATCCAACCGCTTAGCTGCTAAAATTTAAATTTTTGCTCCCCTTCCAACGTCAACCAAGAGGGGAGGCCCGGCAAGAAAGTTATGAATGTGGTTACCTCTAAATTTGAACTTTGAGCCTGGATCTCGCTCCTTGTTCAGACCATTTCTCCCAATTTTGGCTTGGTGGGTTTTCCCACTCAGAATGGGCCACAATCAAAACCGGGCTAGATGAAGGTTAGTAAGGGACAATCCCAACCATAAATTATAGCTGCGACCGCCTTCTTAATCGTTTACATGGTTCTGGGTCGACCATTTTAGTACCGGGTTTTGATTATGACTTACTTGAGGCTCTTGTAAGGACTTGTCACTTACCAACGAACTTCGGATCAATAAGCCCAATGCTTAGCTCACTTCCTGAGTTCATGAACTTTAAACTTTTTGGGAGGACCATTTTAGTGGTACAGAAAAAGTTTGGACTTGTTTTGGGCCATCCACTCAGCCAGTGAGTTAGAAATCGATTGGTTCCACTCAACATGGTCAATGCCAAAACGGTTGCTCTTTGCCAGAACCGAGCAGCTGGGTGCGGATCTCGCAGATCTCACTTCAACTTGGCCCCCCCTTTCCTGCGTTCAAGTGTTACTTCCATCTGCTTAAGACGATGTGCTTTTTCCATTGCGGTTTTGAAGGAGATCGATTTCACGACTGGAAGTATCTAAGTGGAGGCTCGACCATCTCGAACCCCCCAAGGGGAAGCTACAAGAAGGCCAAGCATCCTGAGGGTCCCTTGACTTTCTGTCAGTTTAGAAACGCCCCACCTGTTGGTGCAACATCCCATGAACGAGCGCATTGCCCGCCAGGCGCGGGCACGTCAAAGCGCGCTGCCCAGTTTCGGGCCGGATCGACATGGCAAGACATCAGTGAAAGACGACATGGCAATCGCGGAGCATCGCGGTCGCCGCGGCGGCGTTGTGTTGTTTTGCCGGGGGCGTGTTTTTCTTTTCCTTGGTGGTTCTCAGCAGAGAATGAGTTGGAATGAGCCCGCGAAGCAACTTGTTGTGTGTGTGTGTTTCCTTGAGAACACGCACGGCTGAAAAAGCTCCACTGGCCAGAAGGAAGCAGAGTCCAAATGCTTTGAACATGCGCTTGGACTCTGCTTCAAACGGGCCAAGAGGGACCCCGAAAGTCGAACCCAGTTGAGATGGACCTTTTTCAGCCGAACATATGGGCCCTCTGACCATGGCTATCTTTTCCCATTTGGTGAAAGTCATCTCCTTCTTTGTGGTTTTTTTCCATTGGTCATCCCATATTTGGCACCGATTTGTTTGATCAACCATATTAGCTTCCCCAAGTCAAAGGCTCCGACTTTCCGGGTCTGAGTTTGGTCCCTTTCTTTGCTGTCTCGGGCAATCAATGCCACGTTGAAGCCACGGATTTGTTTTTTCTGTGTTTGTTTCTTTTCTTCTTCTTTTTCCCCAAACAACAGTCTAGGCAAGGAGCTCTGGGTGGTACTAGGAGTCCTGACTAGTGTCGCCATCCTACATGAAGGTGCCCCGAATGAATGGTGAAAAGGTCCTTGTCGCTGGTGTAAACAGATATACACTAGTATGTCCATACATGTATGCGCCGGCGATATGCGCCGTAGGCGAAAAGGAAACCCCCCACAGACGGGTCCCTATGAAACAAGAATCCAGCTCGTTTGGCTCAGGCGGCCTCCCAGACTCACCGATGGCATCTTGTCTCCGCACGGCGCTCGGTCGAGAGATTTGACTTAGCTCTTCCATACACGGACCGGTACTCAATTGGCTAGGTCCTAACATAGACAGAAAAAGTTGGTACCTTTATTCGAACCTCTCTACTGGAGGACCCAGTTGGCTTGTCGTCAGTTTGGGGCCCGGACAGGTGAATCCCACTTTTGGGAAAGGAGTTTCTTTCGCCGCAGACCTGAGAGCAGCCACAATCAAAAACCGGATAGATGAAGGTTAGTAAGGGGCAGTCCCAGCCGGAAATAGTTGCGGATATCCGGCTTTCTAATTCTTTACATGGGTCTGGGTTCACCATTTTTGTACCGATCGGTTTTGATTGTGACTCACTTTGCTTTTCAGATTCCGCACCAACTCCCAGCAACTCCGTGGCATCCTGGGATGGTGCTGGGATGCAAAACTCACTCGCCCCAGGCGAATCGACCTTTTCATGGTTGTTGGGAAACATTTGAATCATTTTTCTTATTGTGGTTTAGTGGTTAATATCCAACCACTTAGCTGCTAAAATTTAGTTTTTTGCTCCCCTTCCAACGTCAACGCGCTTTTGGTTCACTTTTAGCCATGGGCGGCCTTAAGACAGCCATGAGGGGCTGGGTCTTTCAAGTCGGAATCCACTGCCATTCCAAGCTCAGCCTGCCGCGTGGCACGGGCTCTTCACTGGGCTCAAAGCGGGCTTCCCCCGAACATATCTCCGACCATTTGCACCACGAAAAGTGACGTAGCTTGGAGCTAAGTTTGAGTTAGGACTTCCTATGCTCCTTTTGGCGCTTTCAGATAAATACTCTTCGGCCAATTGAAAGTGAGTTTTCTTCGGTGATGTTGGGGAGGGATAGGCGACCCTGCTTGTTGGCTTTGTGATTCTTTGGCCCGATGCTTGGAGACCCGACGGCCAATTGCTTCTTGGCACTGTGATTTGGCAAGCGGATAAAGTGGGGGCACCAACGACTACTAATATGGGTCCCTCCAAAACGACACACCATCGCCCGCGTGAGTCAACCATCTGATTTGACTTTCTTAGGAACAAGTACGGGTCAAGGCTTGATTTGACTTAGCCCACGACCCCATGGATGCTGGCACTGAAAGTAGCTTCCGAAAGGCCAAACGGCACTGAATATTGCCAGCCCTGCTATCCGGGGGCCAATCTGAGCGATCCTTCCCTTGGGGTTCCATTAGTCAGGTTGGTTTGTGTTCGCCATGGTGTCATCCATAGCTGTCAGCCTCGCTCCCTTGGATAGAAACAGTCATACCTGATCCAATTCACGATTCCCCTGCCACCGATGAACATGAAACCTGACGTCCGGGGGTCCCTTCAAAAGGAAAATGGTCCAAACCAGGAACCCCCCCCAGTAGTGCCCTTTTACCCTTTTGTTGGGGAGGGTTCCCCTACCAAAATAGACAGAAAAAGTTGGTACCCTTATTCTAACCAGTCTACTGGAGGAACTAGGTAAACTGGGAGAAAACTGAACACCTGCAAAATCGAGGCCTCCGGAGCAAAGCCGCAAGCTGAGAGATGCCTTGCGAGCGAGCTTGATGGTGGGGTGTTGACCTTTCGGAGCTTGTGCCTTCCATTTCCTGAAGAATACGGTTGATTGTCCCCTCTTGGTCTTAAAGGGAATCTCTCACTGGACATATTTTGCACTTTGGGGATGGCTTCAATGGTGGTTTCCCCTCCAGCTCTCGGGCGACCTGTCCCATTGTTTTTGGTTCATTTTTCTCCGTGTGTTCTAGTCTGATTCAGCAAGACCTTGAGGCTCCCGTTGGCAGTTGCCGGAGCGAAGCTCCCAGAGAAGCATTTTCGACTTGGCCCATGGCCAAATGCCCGCACATGAGACTCTCACCCAGTTTCATCGTCGGTGCGGAAGTTTTACTTGCATTGCACTGCGCGCCACACGTCTTTCATTGCTTGACAGTACCGCATGCAGGAATGGAAACCAGGATTGGCGGCCATACGGTGGATGGACGAATTTAATTCGCACCACCGTTCAGAAACCCTGGAATAATTCGATTCCACTGTAAATATCAACAAACGTTATGGTTTCCCGTGGTTTCAAAGTGGTGCCTAAGAGGATTTCGCAACCATCCACAGTACTGCTCAGCAAATAAGTGAGCCCAGGTAAAGCCCAGTAAGGCGCTGCAGTTGCCTGAGCGACTGCGATGTTTGCGGGACGCACCCTTGACGGTGTCACTCTCTGTCTCCCTCTCTCTCTCTCTCTGTGTTTGTGCGTTGTGTGTGTGTGTGTTTGTGTGCTTGTGTTTCTGTTTCTGTGTCTGTTTCTGTTTCTGTTTCTGTGTGTGTGTGTGTTGTGTTGTGTTGTGTTGTGTTGTGTTGTGCTGTGTTTTGTTGTGTGTTGTGTTGTGTGTTGTGTGTTGTGTGTTGTGTGTTGTGTGGTGTGTTCTGTTCTGTGTTCTGTGTTCTGTGTTCTGTGTTCTGTGTTCTGTGTTCTGTGTTCTGTGTTGTGGTGTGGTGTGGTGTGTGTGTGTGTGTGCGTGAACTGACTCGCATGAATGTCCCGACAGTTGCAATCTCAATTGGAGACGCAAAAAACATGTCTTCAACTTCCAACCTTTCATGTTGTGCTAGAAGCTGGCAACTGCAATGATGGGACGGACACGCTGTTGCGAGCTGCTGAGGTTCGCATACACCATCCCATTCTGCCCGACTCTCAGCAGGTCATGCAAGATGCCGATTCCCCGCGACAGGCTTTGTTGTGACTGTGTTGTTGTTCCTTTGCGGGGACCCCCAAAATGGCGGTAGTCCTTTTGGAAAACCACCAAACATGGGGTACTCCCAAAAAGGCAAACCCTTGTGGAACTTTTCTGAGAGGCCGGAGCAACTTTTTCTGCAGCGAAGCTGAGCTGAGCGGGAGTTAACCAGTCCCGGCTCAGGCTTTTGCTGGAAGAGCCCCAAAAGAGATCAGTGCTTCCCATCGGGAAGAATACATGCCTGTGTTCCTCCATTTGCTTAAGAATTTTGTTTATTTTCCCCTGTTAGTTTTAAAGGGAATCTATCACTACTGGGCATATTTTTTGTTTTTTTCAGAGGGCGAAAAAGCAAATGGAAGCTTTCTTTATGCACTTCCTTTGGGTCATGCCGAGAAGGAACCACCCAAGTGCGACAATAATGATCGCGCAGTTTGGCTGCAACGAAGTGAGGGGCAAGCGCAGCCAAGCTGCTTTACGAACCCGCAATTTTGTCTAGGCACCAGAAGCTCATTGGAGAGAGGTGACTTTCTGAACCCTTTGGACCAACTCAGCAATCCTTCCATTTGTTTAAGCATATTCGTAATTTTCCCCTGTTGGTGTTGACGGTCATGACCCTAGGTCAATCATTCCCGAAATTGCACAAATGATCCAATCACATCCATCCACCATGTGTGTCGTAGAATGGGGGACCCCAAAAAAGTGATCGGTTTCGCGTTGGTTTCCTTGTAAGCCAACCCCAAAAAGGGTACAGTACCATCAAAAAACAGACACACCCATATTGGGGTTGTTATAAATTGGCGATTCCTTTAGGGAATTTAGACAGTCATCAGACAAAGCCACCATCCATATCACATATCAACCAGCCCGAAAAAGCGTTCTCCCTAACAACCCCAAAAAGGGTACCATCCATCTTCTCATATCACCAGGAAACCAGAGGTTGTCCTTGTTTCCATGAAAAACATGGGCCCGTTTTGCCGATGTTTGACAACCACACCCATCTTGCTGGCTCTCAGCCCTTTTTCTTAGGGTTGAGTGGTTGGGTTTCCATTTAACCCACGAAAAGAGTGAGTCACCTTTGGCGGGATCTGAAAACGCACAGCCATATGGCCATGGGTCATAACTTCATAACCTATGCCGATCCCATTTTGGAGCGGATGAACACCCATGTACCACCTATGTTGATGCTCACCAGGGGTTTCCTGGGATTTGACAACCGCATCGCAGGAACCAACTTCCCCAGCCAAATCGGGTAGCCTCTCTACTTCCCCAGAATTAGCTCCCCTGTTTGCTTTTTTGCTTTTTTGGGGTTCCCTTTGTTTTCCCCCTCACCAGGCAAAAAAGATATATATTTTTTGCCGGGGTCCGATTTTTCCAGCTAAGAGTCTACTGGAGGAAAATAGACAAAATGTTCCGGGCCAAAGCGGCTTGAGTTGATCTCAGGGCGCTTCGGTCACGCCGGGGCCGGCGCCCCCAGCCTCTCTCCGGCTCGTTAGAAGCAGGGGACGGAAAACCCGGCGGCGTGGGGGTTTTGTTTCGACTTTTTTGGAGTCGCCACGTCGGTTCACCCTGGAAAGGGAAAGCAAAAGGGGGAAACACCGATGCCATTTTGGGGTGGTGGCGTTTGGTTTTTTTTGGAGTCGCCACGTTTGTTCACCTTCTAGGTGCCCCAGTAGTGCCCTTTTACCAACGTTTTGGGGGGAGGGTTCCCCTACTCCCTTATTCCAACCTCTCTACTGGAGGACCTAGCCTTGTCAAAGGGAAAGCAAAGGGCGGAAGCACCGAGGCCATCTTGGGGCGTCCCCGTATTTTGACAGACATGAATCCAGTTGAGAGGATTCCACTGCAGATGTGGGCTCGGATGAGGTTGGCATTCTGCCTGTTTTATTCGCCCAGCCCAGCGATTCGGACGAAATAGAACCGACGGTCAGGATCGCCTGTGCAAGCACAAGGCTTGCCAGCACGCTTTCTTACTGATGCAGTGATTTGAGCCAAGAGGGTGCATGTGGGCCTTGGTCGGCCTCACTTACTGCGTCCTCCACTGGCGGATCTGTTTCTTTCAGTTGTTGGAATTACTGAAAGACAAAGCATGCAGATCATTCAGGTTTGACAAAGATCCGCCTTTCCATCTGCCGCACTAACACTTCCTAGGGTTTCCAGATAGAATTGAGACTATTTCCCGGAAGCAGATTCTATGGTTTCCCTCACCAAAATATCAAGGTGAAACGAGTTTTGCCCTTTGGACTGTGTGGGGATGGCCCAGACCACCAGACTCCACGGCCGAAGCGTGGTCCGATTTCTCTCGGCTTAGGCAAAGTGACGTAGCTCCTGGCGCGTCCAGCCTGAGACTCAGATCAAAAAATATCGCAAGTCTACAAGGCATCGGATGGTACGCAGGGGATGCTTCCATTTGGTTAAGACTATGTTTTGTTTTCCACTGTTGGTTTTAAAGGGAATCGATCACTACTGGAAAAAAATTTCCAGGGGGCCTAAGCAAATGGAAGGATGTGCGCTTGCGTTTTCTCGGTGTGGATCGGAATTTCCTCTGGCTATTTCTCCCTTGTTTGGAACTTCCATTTCGTGGCGATGTTTTGAATGGAAACGACCGGTAAATTGCATCAACGTTTGATTTGGGGAAAAATCAGTGACCCCTGTTGATCCAATTCAAGCATGTGATGCATATTTTGGGGCCCCGAATTGCAAACGCTTCTATGTTTCTGGCTCTTTGGACACGTCTGAGCTGCCGCGCCAGTCTTCTGAGAGTCTGGGAGTGCCGATTCTTGGGGCTAGACCAAAGGAGTGCCTCTGGGTCCCCCAGTAGTGCCCTTTTACCCTTTTTTGGGGCAGGGTTCCCCTACTAAGATAGACTACAGAAAAAAAAGGGTACCCTTATTCTAACCTCTCGGACAAGGTCAAAGCATCCTGCTGGTAGGATATGGCTGTGGAGCAAAAGGCGGTAAAATGGCTTGTCCAGTTCCGCGTGGTGTCATTTTGACCCATACTTGTATGGCCATGAATTTAAATAGGGAACCACCTCAAAAGTGATTGGTGGACATGACTCCCCACCTAAACGATGTCCACCAAGGGACCCTTTATTAGAATTCATTCCCATTATCTTGACCCGGTCCTTTTTCAGTTTGGATTCATGTGCAAGCTTGCCTTCAAGATCCCGACCCCGGCACCCTCTGGAGCCGAAAGAACGTGGTGAACAAGTAACCTGCCGCAAGCACCTAGCAGCTTCCTGTCCAGGAATGAACTTATTGAACAGGTGTCGTGTGCGTGTGTGAATGTGCTCTCTTGGTTAAGATGGACATCAAAACTAGGTCCCCCAGTAGTGCCCTTTCTCACCCCTTTTTTGGTTGGGAGGCTGCCCCTACTAAAATAGACTACAGAAGAAAAAAAGTGGGTACCAACAAATTCTAACCTCTCAAATCTGGAGGACCTAGGTGTGAATGTGCTCATGGTTCAAGAGGACAACCACATGCCCGGATTGGTTTGTTTCGGCCATCAGGAGCCTCCACAGCCGCGGCCAAGGCCCTGGGGGAAAAAAAAGGCAGGTCATTTGGAGCCTCCATTTGCTGAAAGGAATATGTTTTATTTTCCAACTGCTTGGTCTTAAAAGGAATCGATTTCTCTACTGGAAATATTTCTTCATTCTTTCCTGGGGCCTTCACCAAATGGAAGCTGGTTGGTTTTTTGTGGAGTTTGGACTTTGGGAGCCCTGATGTTGGCTAAAATCCTCTCTTCCCGAGTTCACGGACTTGAGTCACTTGGGCTTGGACAAACCGTTTGGTTACTTTTTTGGGCTTCTCCCACTCAGGAAGTGAGAAAATGGGAAACCACCTCGTTACCACACCACCAATTGGAGGGAAGCTGAATTTTGATGAATCATGCACCCTAGTTGAAGCCTCCGTGGTATCTGCTTGGTTTTGGTGCGCAGTCGATTCCTCTTCGGTGTTTTTCAGAAGGCTTTCCCCCCCAAATTCCTTAGCATACATGTCTGCTGTAGATGGATGGCATGGGTATCGGCTACGCTGATAGCTCGAAGGATGGCACACACATTAACTGTCAATGCCAGTTGGCGGCCGAATGAACCTTGATCGTGGCAGAATCGAAGCGACACAGAATGCCGTCCAGTAGAATATATGTCTCAGTTGTTCAGTGGCCCCAATTATTTTTCCAACTCTTTTTTTTGGTGGCCGCCCCACTAAAGATGCGGTCTTTGTCAAAAAGGGTTCCCTGTTTTTCTCCAGGGTCACTGAACAACTGAGAAATGTTTGCCCGCTTCATGCCACACGTCAGACGCAGACGCAAACTCAGTCGCACCGCCGGCGAACAAAACGTCGAAGGATGCCATCGGCTCCGTGCTTGGGGATGTCCGGGGTAGACGGGTAGACTTAGGAAACATTTACATTTTACCTCTGGCTCAAATTGAAGCAAACAATAAGATAATATACATTCTAGAACTGGGCCTAACTCTAATCATGATGTGATACTTTAGGCTGGCGAGTCACTGATTTGCCCATGCATTAGTTGAAATATTGGATCTCTTTGGTGAACTGTTGTGAAAAGATGCAATAGGACCTCAATGCCACACCCAGAAGTAGGTTCGTGGGAAACGTGCGCCTGTGAAGATTCCAACAACCCATGCCGTATGGCAGGCGTGTGAGCAGTCCTGCGCAAGGGATGTCCATTGTCGCGTCGAGCTGGTTTTTTTGGATGCGGTGCTCATTAAACACTTGCTTCAGGGGCCCCAAAAAATGGTTGGTCACCTTTTGCTTTACTTTTACAACCAACCGGGGTGCCAACTCAAAAAGAAATCGGGCCGCCCCTAATTGGTTTTCTCCAAATTCTGAGTCCTGGCGAGTCGGCCAGATGTTTTCCAGCGATGGAAGTGGGTGCCTTTTTCCGAAGGTTTTTTTGTGCATGTGAGTATAAAGAAAAGGGCCAAGACATGGTTGTTGTTGGGAAGCATTTTATATTTTTGCTTATTGTGGTTTAGTGGTTGAAATCCAATCACTTATCTGCCAAATTTTAGATTTTTGCTCCCCAAACCCAACGTCAACCAAGCACACGGCTTCTTGCTGCAGAATATTTTGCTTGTTCTCCCCTGTTGGATTTGAAGAGGGAATCCATCCCTGGAAAAAGTGTGCTTGTCTTTTCCAGGGGACTTAGGCAAACGTAGGAATTCTGGGGGTCAACGTATACATCTTCGCTGTCTAACATGGTGGTGCTATGCAAGAATTGGAACGTATTGAAGAAACGATCGTTTGGGCGCCAGTTGGGGTTGGCATGCACCAGTTGGGATGGAGGTTCATCCCCCGATTGAATACTGAGGCAAGTCACCAATACGAGCGAAGTGGATTCTGTCAATCCACAGGGTCAACGTTTGGGGAAACCCATCTCAAGTTCAGTCTTCGCCCTTGATGAAAATGAGCAAATAACGGAGTTGAGGTTGTCTTAGAACGCAGAGTACCACCAACATGGTGAGCTTCCTGTTGTTTTCGCTGGCTATTGGGTTGCATCTTTGGACTTTAAGTGTTTGGGAATCATAGGGTTTTCCATGGACCCGCAAAAAATAAACTTTTGCAGAGGGGCCCTTTCAGGAACCAAGTCACGCAACTCGTCCTTTTCCCCTTGCGACAGCCCCGGGAAATCAATCCATGCCAATCCTGAGTTACTCGGGCGGCCAATCAATCCACAAATTCCGCAGCATCCCAAAAGGGTAGCCGCAAAACATATGTTAAAACAAGAAACAACTTTTTTCAGGCAAAAAATCCAAAAACGGTAGCAACAAAAGTGTTTGTGTTTCTTTTTCTTTAAACCAAAAACAAAAAAATCAAGCAGCATCCCACAGGGTAGGCCAACAAACAACGCACCCAGTCATGTCCTTATGGTTCAACTCGTTCTTCACCTCGCCAGGTGACCGCTGCAGCTGCTGCGGATCGCATGGCGTAGGGGCACCAAAGGTTGCAACGTTTGGGTATGTGCCCTGCGGTAGACTTAGGAGACATTTTACATTTTACAAGTGTCTCAAACTGAAACAAACAATGAAATATACATTCTAGAACTAGGCCTAACTCTGATGACGTGCCATGGCAACACCCGTAGAGGGCTGTGCCTTTTTTGAGGTTGGACCCCCCAAAAAGGTGTCCTTTTAAAACCACCAAAGAACAAGTGCCCTTGGGTGCGTAGGGATGGTTATTCCTTCAATGGGGACTTTAGACAATGGTCGTTCAACCAGCACACGATAGAAGTTTTCATCATGGCATGGGTGGTTTTCCAAAGTAGGGCCCCCCAAAATGGGTTGTGCCCTTTTGATCCCCTGTAAAAAGCAAGGGTCCATCATTTTGAGAAACCCTCTCGTGATATGTCTGTTTTTGACAGGATCAAGGATCAAAGATGGTATCATTGCAATTGGAGTAAAAGGAGATTGCCCTGAAATGCTGCAACGTCTGAGTGGGAAAAAGAGAACGCCCTGAGTTTAACTGAAGCTTCTTCTCTTCTTTTTTCGTTGGGTGGATACAGAAAGCTTTCAGAACTGGTTCGTTGAAAGAAGAGTGGAAAGATTGAACCGACCAGCGACGGTCTGCGGCAACATTCGTTGAAGTCGGCCACTCGGCCCTGAGTTAGACTTTGAGCTCGCGGGATGTGGGACATGCAGACGTGGTAGATCAAAAGCTCCAGGCTCGTGTTGTTTGGCGAAGCCACGCAGAAAGACCCTCAACCCTTTGCCCGAATCGCAAACAGAGCCCTGGTTCAGCTATTGAAGAAAGGTAAGTGCTTCTACAACATTCATGCGACTTGTGGGTCACCATGGGCAGACTGGAGCTGTTCTTTGATTCAGGAGTGCTGTTGCGATACATCGCTCGTCAGGGACCAAAGCCTGTGATGTGTTTTTTGCTTTGCCTATATTTGTTGCTTTGGGCAACTGCAGGCTGCCACAAGTGAAAGACTCTTTGGGGTTCTTGCAACCCGCAAAAAAAAGCTTGACAACTTTTTGCAGAGGGGTCCTTGCCGCATCCAAAAAGGGTACGCCCAAAACAAACGCGCCCAGCTATGTCCAAAACAAACGGTCGCATTCTTAAAGGTCTGGCCGCAGACGAAGCTGTCGGGTCAAAGCTGCGGTGCCACCGCATCCTAGGCCCTTGAGCCGAGTGCAGGCGGGAGTCAGCCGCTGGCTACGCTGGAAATGGTCAAAGTTTGGGAGACCAAGTTGCTGTGCACATGTGGTTTGGTCTCAAACTTAGAGAACCCCCCCAAAATGGCCTTCACTTACTCTCCTTACTCTCCTTACTCTCTTTTCTAACTTACGAAGCCTCACTCTCATGGTTTTGTTTTTAACCTCATTTACTCTCTTTCCAACAATCATGGAAATGGACATGGAGGTCCTCCAAACGGAGAGTAGTGTTCCCACACCGTCCTGTCAGCTTCCATTGGCAGACATAGTTGTGGCCGCCTTCTTAATTCCTTATATACATGGTTCTGGGTAGACCATCGTACTACCGGGTTTTGATTGTGACTCGTTTCCTGTGATTGAAGAAGCAGCGACAATACCAAGCAGCCATGGCTTGCCGGGTGTGGTTGCACACAGTAGACTTCGGCCAGGTGAATAACGCGAGAAGCACTTTGATTTTTTTCCAAGCTGCACGCTCTTGGCGTATTCGGATTGGGTTTCAGAGCGCGGCAGTGGCCTTGTTCTGAGCAATCTCCAAGGACGTAGATTTGGGGCGGTTGGAATCAATGTTGTCCATCGCTCCGATGGCTTCTGGGCAATTTTGGGTGACCTCACGCACAGGGGTTGCTACCTCATCCGTGAATAAGGTTCTGTTCATAAAGATGTCTTGCTTTTGATTGGTGAGTAATGATGGTTCAATCAGATGGGTTGAGTCATTTTGCATGAGTTTCAACAGCGACACCCAGAATGATTGATAGACATAAAGCCCCATGTGAGTGATGATGTCCAATTGAAAACATACCCAAGTGTTGGGGGACAGTTCATTAACTGGGAACGGAACAGCCTTGGCACAGCTAGGTGTCTTAGGCAATGTTGGCTGATGTAGGCTGATGTGGGTTTGCCATTTTTTAGGGGACCCCGCAATTGGTGGTTTTCCTTTGAGTGTCCCCAAAAACCACCAAAAAAGGGGTAGTCTCCAAAAAGGTACACCCATGTGATGGTTGCAGAGTCTGGGATAGTTCGCCCTACTTCACGGATCAATTTCAGCGATTGCGCGGGCAAGGCTTGACGTCCACCGTCCAAACATTAATTCTATCATTTATGCACCGACTTGGGTCTGTCTTTTTTGGAGGGTAGCCTTTGTTTTGGTTTTTAAAGGGACGCCAAATGGAAGGCCATTGGGGGAAAGACACTCACTTGTTAGCAAGGCAAGCAGTTCCAGGACTCAAAATCGGAGTCGTCACCAAATTGCAGTGTAGAATTTTGTCTTTCAGGCATATCGGCATATCATCTAGGTCCCCCAGTAGTGCCCTTGTACCCTTTTTGGGGGGAGGGTTCCCCTACTAAAGCAGACTACAGACAAAAAATATGGTACCCTTATTCGAACCTCTCCACTGGAGGACCTAGTCATTTCTGCTGCTTCCCACAGTCCTGGCAGAATATACATCAAGCCGCCACGGTGTTGCATGCCACTGACATTTGGGAACCTAGGTCCTCCAGTAGAGAGGTTAGAATATGGGTACCCTTTTTTTCTGTATATAGTCTATTTCAGTGGGGGAACCCTCCCAACCAAAAACAGGGGTGAGAAAGGGAGCCTAGCTGTGGGACCTAGGGAACAGGGCGCTGATTTTTGCGGTGTCAGGCAATCCTCGAGACTCAACAGAAAGACTTCAATAGTTCGCCGTGCTCCAAGTCTTCTCCGCAATGGAAGCCCAAAGAAGGGTCCCCAAACCCCCCCAAAGCCAAACAGATATCGGTTGTTTTTGTTGGGGGTCCATGCCAATCTGTAGGTGTAGATGGAGTCAAACTGGCATGTTGCTTTTGGCTCTTAACACCAACTGGGTTACAGACTTTCGGTTTCTCATCATCTACAACATCAATCCTTGCCATCTCTCCTGCAGCAAGATCAAGTTATACATGTCCACAGATGTTCCAGCGTTATCTAATCTGAGGACTGCTTGCGGCCTCTTCGCCGTTGGGTGCATCGCAGAGTCCATGTTTGACAAGCAAGCGATCCATGCGTTCTTGTGGGGTAGGTTGCAAGTCAGGTTTGGCACCGGCTGCTCAGATTCGCTGCAGTTTTTGCGCACCGTTGAGGGAGCACTGTCCAGTGGTTGAGTAAGGTCCTTGTCACAGACCATGTACTTGCAGACACTGCCTGCTTGTCGTGTGTGGTGTGGGCTTGATGGTGTATACAGCAGGCTCTCAGTTGTTCAGTGGCCCCGATTCTTTTTCCCCTTTATTTTTGGTGGCTGCCCTGCTAAAATGGTCTTCGTCAAAAAGGGTTCCCTTTTCCAGGGTCACGGAACAACTGAGGGCTGCTTCTCCTGACTAGGACCAGAGCAAGTACACAGAGGGCATCATGTCAGAGGTACGAGGCTTGAGCTCAGTTTGGTGCAGCCCCTTGACACAAAAAGGGAGCACTGGGTGTTTCTCAAAATAGGGCCCCCCTAAAAATGCTTGGTGTCCTTGCCTTGTGTGTCTTCCTTTCAAGAAGGGGTTTAAACCAAAGGCAAGCCCCCCAATTACTCCAACAAAGATAGTGCCTAGTGTAAACTGGAAGCACCATCATTTTGCCCCTGAGATCACCATTTTTGAGAAACTCCCTTTTGGACACGTAGTGCCTATGCGCCGAGGATGGAAGAGATGCGAGACAAGATTTGCTCGCTGATGCATGCTGGGCCACAGCAGGCGGGGAAATTGGACCTGTAGTTCCAGCGAGGCCCAGAGTTCTGTAATTGGCTGTGGGTCAAAAGCCGGTACCCCCAGTGAACATCCCAATCCCCACTAAAATAGACTAAAATGGGTGGTGCACCTACCCCAAACTGGTACCATTGGTTTTGACCAATTGCTTCCATTTGCTGAAATGAATATGTTTTCTATGTTCCCCTGTTGGTTTTTAAGGGAGTCGATTTCACTACTGGACATATTTTTTATTTTTATTTGCAGGGGTCTTCACCAAATGGAAGATTGTACTCAATTGTGAACCATTTCAGCCAACTCGGTAGAACTGAACTGATTCTGGAGAGTGGCCCTTCTAGATTCTAGACCCTTGCTAGTTGCAAGAAGTGGACTGGACCACCTCCTGTTTGCCAGTGCCTTTGCCATCCTTTAGCTTGCCAAAGGCCTCAATTCTATAAGTAGGCGTTCCCCATGTCATTCCGCACAGCTAGAAACAGCTGAGACCTAGACGAGCTTGTCGAATGTAAAACGGGTTGACTGAATCTGTCACCTTCCCACGAAATCACTACAGTGTTTTGGATACACAAGTCCTACGGATGGCTTCCCCGAAGGCTCTTAGTTACTGTGGCTCACGTGTGGGTGAGAGAAAAATCCCAGTACGGCCCAGGGGAGCACGGAGTTTGGTTGAGTGCCTTTGGGTTCCCCAGCTAGGTGCCCTGGTAGCCCTTTTTTGGGGGAGGGTTCCGATACTAAAATAGACTACAGAAAAAAAGGGTACCCTTATTCTAACCTCTCTACTGGAGGACCTAGTAGCATTTGTTTGTATCTGGAGGCCGGGGGGTTCACTGAGTCTCAAGTGTCGAAAACCAAGATGGCCTTCGGTGGACATGGCAGTCACCTGCCAACAGGGCAGCTGCTGATTCGCTGGGGAAGGATTCGGGATCGGACAGTCGTGTTGATGCATAGGACGGAGTTGCGGTATCAAACTGGTACCCAAAAGAATCGGATATGTTGGGCTGCGTTTGTTTGGCGAAGGATTCTGGTGATTTGGGACAACCGACTCATGTTTCAACTGAAAGGCAACTGCAATACTAATACCCGGGCATAAGGTTTCAGGGTGGTCCACGGTTTTTCACCCCTCTGGTCTCCGTTTTACCCCCCCCCCCCCCAAAAAAAAAAAAAGACCCCCTCAAAAAGCGGGAAACAGGCGAGCCACCCATGTTGCTCCCTTTCCCCCCCCCCCCCCCCAAGCGATTCCATGTCCCTTCACAGAGTTTGGCTCAGGTGACCAGCATGAACAGCGTTGCCACGATCGCCACTCCCACCAGCTGCCGGTTCCTCAAGTTTGCAAGCCATGAGCTCGGCAGAAAAAGGGACGAACATGACGGACCAGCAACATGCTAGGTTCCCCAGTAGTGCCCTTTTACCCATTTTTGGGGGAGAGTTCCCCTACTAAAATAGACTAGAGAAAAAATGGTACCGTTATTCTAACCTCTCTACTGGAGGGCCTAGCCCTGCTAAAGTATTCTGGCGAGTATGCTTCCCACTCGGAACCTCAGTTTAGCAACAATTGCGGGCTTTGTCCGATACTCATGCCTGCCCAATCCAACCAACTGCTCAGTAGCACGCCATGTCTTTGGTTTGCTATCTTCACACCAACTAGAGTTCCTCTTCTGATGACCGAACCTGCTGTTGAAACACGTGAAAAAAGTCCGTCCACCATGGCCGTCAACTTACTCGTAGCCGCCAAAACCTGGGTAAACCGATGCTGACAACGCAAAACGATGCTCACCGGTACTAGGGTATGGAGCACAAAGGTTTCATACGAGGTGTTATTTCAGCCCAATGGTGGGTCATCACAGAACTGGCTCTCGGTTCAAGAAAAGCGACATTGAGTGATCCCTGACTTCCACTTGCTTAAGAAGGGAATCTATCACTGGGCATATATATATATATATATATTATAAATATGTTCTCAGTTTGTCCAGGAAGCGAAGAAGCAAATTGAGGAATCACCAATGATGCAACATGCGCACATGTCCGAAATGAACCAGCTGAATGCGCTTTGATTTGTTTGCTGGTTTTTTGGTACATTCATCCACCATCCATCTACATGAGTGCGTCTGAACATAGGGGACCTCCAAAAATGGTCGGTTTCCCGTTGGTTTTTGTGGGTCATGCCCCCAGGTCGACCATTTTCAAGAAATTCACGGCTCGTGCTAGGTACGAACAGCGCGTGCTCCAGCAGACCAGCGAAGGCCGGCTCTCCAGTTTCGCGAAGGCGTTTGGCAGCTACCATGCAGCTCGTCTTGAGGGTACGCCCATTGTTGGTGGGCAAATTAAACCCAAGAAACACGCCATCCAGCTTGGAGGGGTCCCACCTGAAAACAGACGCTTCCTCATGTTTGAACAGACAGGAGTATACTCGGACATCCGACCGCCTTGTCTTCTACTATAGGTAGAACAAAAGGTCGATGGGTTTCCGGCACTCTGATGACCTTTGTGGTTTCCCAGTTCTGGTGGGATTGATGTGTGGAAGCAAATGTGCGTCCTTCCGATTTGGTGCCTTGAAATTCGATGGATTCCATGAGGTTCGGGTTGGTTCTTTTCGGTTGAAAATGCCAATAAATTTCTTGCAAATGGGCCAGATGAGTCTTACACTTCTTTGCTGACATTGTGAGTCGGTGAAAGTGCAGCAGCAGCCAGTAGTAGAGGTGGTTTGCTTTCTCAGACTATCCATGGGTTCATGCATTGTGCTTCTAAGCAACCTGCAGATTAGATTTGAGTGACTCAGGACTTTCATCTTTGAATTGTAATCCGTCCCCCCACTAATAAATGCACCCTACTAATACATACAATAATTGTTCCCAGACCGCCGGGTCCCCAATACTACTTTCAGAATAGGCGAATTCAAACCAATACTAAGTCAAAGTCACGGCTCCCTGCACAGAACGCTTTCTTATGGAAGGACAGTTCTGCTGGATTGGCCTAGCCTCAAGTTGGCTTAGCTTGCGACAGAAGGATCATGTTCTATCCGATTCTATTCTTTCGGCGGTTGGTTCAACAGCTACAATGAGTTGTTTTTTCACACCATGTGAGGTATGGTCGACAGGAGCAAGGGACCGACGAAATGTCCAACAATATGAGCGAGACTCACATAAATTGTCCAATGTCCACTTGGGAAGAGTAATTAATCTTTCTGTGGAACGATGCAGATTGAAGGTGCACATTGATTCCTGTTGCCCAGTGCGTTGCTGGGGGGGGAGGGTGTTGTGTAAATGAGAACAGGGTGTTGAGTAAATGAGAACTAGCCCTGCAGGGCGAACTGCAACTGCAGTTGTGATTGAGTCCACGCTGGATCGATTTGCTTTTCCAAAAAGAGGCGGTTGTTATATGATGTTGTGTCCCACGCAAACCGATTGATTGGTTAGAATGAGGTGGTTGTTATGTCTACATGTTTCTCTTGTGTTGTTGTGTTGAGTCACTTTAAAAGGCAGAAGGTGGGACCTTGGCGAATCATACCCCTGCAGCATACCCCCTTCAAAACGTATGTTGCAGACGCTACTTTTCTTCTACCCTTTGTGTCTCTGAAACAACCACCACCAGCGCTACCTTCTACTAATATTGTCGCTACTACCACTACCACTACGACTACTACTACTACTACTCCTACTCCTACTGCTACTGCTACTGCTACTAGTGCTACTAGCACTACTATTGCAGCAACAACAGCAGCAACAACAACTACTGCTACGGCTATCGCTACTGCCAGTACTACTACGATTGCGACGACGACTACTACTACTACTGCTACTGCTACTGCTACTACTACTACTACGACTACTACTACTACTACTACTACTACTACTACTACTACTACTACTACTACTACTACTTCTACTACTCTTACCACTACGACTACCACTACCACGACTACCACTACTACCACTACTACCACTACTACTACTACTTCTGCAACGAGCACTACTACTACTACTACTACTACTACTACTACTACTACTACTACTACTACTACTACTACTACTACTACTACTACTACTACTACTACTACTACTACTACTACTACTACTACTACTACTACTACTACTACTACTACTACTACTACTACTACTACTACTACTACTACTACTACTACTACTGGACTACTACTACTACTACTACTACTTACTACTACTACTACTACTACTACTACTACTACTACTACTACTACTACTACTACTACTACTACTACTACTACTACTACTACTACTACTACTACTACTACTTCTTCTTCTTCTTCTTCTACTACTAGTATTGCTGCAACTAGGACACCTATTGCTACTGCTTCTACTACTACTACTACTACTACGACTACTACTACTACTACTACTACTACTACTACTACTACTTCTTCTACTACTACTACTACTACTACTACTTCTACTACTACTTCTCCTGCTACTACTACGACTACTCCTACTCCTACTCCTACTCCTACTCCTATTCCTACTGCTTCTCCCACTTCTCTTACTCCTGTTCTTATTAATTCTACTCCTACTGCTACTACTACTGCTCCTACTACGTTAATCATGCTGGTTTTCTATAATCACTTGCCCTGTACTCCCAGTGATTGTGAGTCTCATTACACTCTGAACGCAACTTTGTATCTTTTACTTGGCTGGCCGTCGATGCCACTTGAAGACAAGATGGAGAGAGCCAAGTTTCCCCTTGGTTTGACTAAGCTTGACGCTTCTCTTCTGGGTCGCTGTAGCGAGTTGGCAATTTGCTGCGCGAGGTTTGACCGCCCTGCGTCCGGCCAGCTTGTCATCGTCTCCTTTGCTTCACGCGCGCAAATCATGTCCTGCGCGAGGTTCGTAGCGGCGCTGACCCACAGCCGCCACGCCGCGCGTCACTTGTTGACACACATACACACACATATACACATATATATACACGTATATACACATAAACAAAGGCGCGCGCATACGCGCGCTCGCGCGGCTCCAGCCGTCTCGCCGCTTTTCAGGAAAGAAAGCGACGTGTTGGGCAGCTCTTTGTGCTTCTTCGGCGGGGGATTGTAGGGATCGCAGCGTCGTGCTTTGCAGCGCGGACCTGCCGGGCGGCGCGGCTGCCGGGGCAGAGGGATTAGGCATCCCTGTTTCTTTTCAGAACTCCTCCGTCCGCTGCACGGCTCCGGCTTTCGCATCCCCTTCGAAGAAACAAGTTTCGGTGTTGGAGTTCCAGAACTCCGAAGGCCAACATGGAGCGCGCGGCTCCGGCCGCCGCGTCCTTCGTGTGAGCAGCCCAGTAGGAACGCGCGGCTCCGGCCGTCGCATCATCCCATTCGAAGAAATCACGTATCATGCTAGGCATCCCTGATTCTTGTAGAAGCTCTATCTAAAGTCGACGAGGAACGGCCGCCGCGTTCTTCCTTTGAGCAGCTGCGAAGAAACGCCGGCTCCGGCCGCCCTTTCAGAAAGGGAAGCGATTGTGTCAGGCGTCGCCTGGCCAGGTCTTAGACGGCAGCGTCGCGCTTGCAGCGCGGGCCTGCTGGGCGGCGCGGCTTCCGGGGCCCCGGAGGGGGTGGGGGAGATCTCTTTCTGTTAGCTTGTCCCGCTAAACGTGGCGTATTTGGGAAGAAGCTGAAGGGGGGAAGCTCGCGCGCGCCAGGCGAAGGAAGAGGAGGTCGACATCTTGGTTATCGGTGACTCGTCATGTGCTATGGCTGAGGAGCCCAACGACAAGTACCCCACCAAGCATCACGTTGCCGAGCTGCTCCAGGCTGACCAGCTCAAGGGCGTACGCAATGTCTACCAAGGAATGGATTTGGGGAAGGGCCTCGATGCAATTTACAGCGCTATGGAAGCCAAGGTGCGACTCATCGCCGAGGACAATGCTCAAAAGGGCGTCAAGCAACTCCCCATATCTGTCATGTGTTGCGGGGTGGCAATGACGTCTTCGGCAATTACGGGTATGTGGGCTGCCGGTGGATCCACGAAAAGAGATTCAATCGAACGGAGTGGCCGGATCTCCAGTGCCTGCACGGCGCTGCCGCATTGCAGCGGCCTTCGCGCCGCTTGCGCGAGCGGTGGGGCTTGACGGGTCGCGCGCCGGGACCTGAAACCTGCCAACGTCCTCTGGGCAGGCGGGGTTGTCACTGGCCCCCCCTTGTTGGAGGCTCTTAACAACCCTTGGAACAGACACCCAAGCGCGGCGCTTGGATTAGTCAGTTTTTCCTGGCGTTACGCATTTGTCGCTCTTCTATTATTGCGCATCATCTCGCGCGGGCTCAAGACGGTCTGTGGCTGGAGCCGGCAGGATGTCGCAAGGCACGCTCATTGGCTCCATAGTAGCGCCAAGGTACTTCTCCGGACACCACACCAGCAACAGCCTATAAAGACAAATGAGGACCATCGGAAAGCACGGATGTTGATTATTTAGCGGCCGCGTGAACTCTGCCGGACCACCCCAGCTGGACTCCGCGGGGAAGGTGCAAGCGATTGCAAGCGGGCTGTCAAAGAAGATTGCTGCAGCGCCATGAAACTCACAACACGGGGCGACAGTGAACACATCGCAGGTAGGCCTCCGAAAGAGTCATGTCCGACGCCACACCGTATCACCAGTGCAGCTGCAGCTGGACTGCGGTATGCCAGCTGAATAATTTGCTTGGCTTGGGTCGACCGCGACTCTTCTTCAGTATGCCGCACTGCACACACGCACACACACACGACAGCTGGGTGCGAGATGTTTCACACATTGACCAAGCCACTTCAGCCTGTTCTTCGAACAACGAGTCACATACGAAGTTGCAAGGTCCTGTGGCAAGGTCAGAAAGGGTGCACGGGGAAGACACAGGGAGTTATGAGATAATCCCAAAGCCTGGCCCAACTTGTTGTCGCCCCCATAAGGCCTCACCTCTTGTAATGACCTTAGAGGGCCAAGGGCGTAAGCCACCAGCCCCAGTCCGGCGCCGCACTGGTGGATGGGACCACCTTGCTGCAAGCAGAGGGGCTGTGGGGGACCCGAGAGGACAAAGGGCTAATTCAGACTCATTAAACGCAAGCCCTTCAAATGCTTTTAAGCAGCCGCTGTGGGGCCTCTTGGGGGTGGATAGGGGGTTTTCAAGGTGAAATGCCATTTCGTGGTGTTTGTCGTGTCTAGGTACTACTACTACTACTACTACTACTACTACTACTACTACTACTACCACCACTACTCTTACTGCGGCGACCACAAATCATACGCTCGAATCATACCCCCAAACCATACCAACAGTTACCAACGTACCCGCGAATCAGACCCAGCGGTCAAGCCTTTCCGCCCCCCCATAACAGTGGCAAATATAATCTTTTCAGCGGGGTTCCCCAATGGTCATCCCACGTAAAGGACCTTTCGATCACCATGTCAACATACTGCCCCCGCCCGAAACAGCACCCCAGCCTGTCCAGGCGGCTGCGCCTTCGCCGGAACTTGCAGAGGTGGCGCCCGTTGTTTGGTTGGCAGGTGTGGTTTCTTATTCCTTAGCTTCACCAGCTTGCTAAAAAGTTGAGCACCACCCTTTCTGGGACCTATATGCCACCAATTGACCCGGCCCCTCTAAAAGGAAGATAGCACCCCGACACGTCAGGTTCCATGTTGACTGGTGGAAGGGCAACTTCACCACTTTGCTTAAAGGTTGAGCACCTCCCTTGCGATTGTATGGACGTCCCTACGCCACTCGGCTTGCGTCTCAGGCGAGCAACCTGCGCGAACATGCGCTCGGGCCTCGGATTGAACCACGAAGACGTAGCTGGCGGTAGGAAAGGAGGCTGAGCCAAAGATCTGGCGGTATCCATTTTTTTTAGTGGATTTTTAAGGGTGCTAAGTAGCTACCAGGAGATGGTAGGCAGGCAACCCATATTTTTCTTGGTGTTTGTAAAGCACGGTTTCAATGTAATTCACCGGGTTGTGAATCAGTTGTTTAGGACCTTGTAATATGTCCTTAGGAAAGTTGGTCTGTGAGATGAGAAGCAGTTAATATGGAATCCCAGGCACAAAGGGTGTATCCGATCTAATGGTGAGCGCTCCCATCCAGGGGTTCCCATTGTACAAAGAACTGAGAAACTGATTCCTGCTGGGCCAATTCCTGAGGTTTGTGTGCGAGCTGCCGAAAAAATCGAAACACAAGCATGTGACCAATTCGCGTTTGCATCCTTTGCAGGGTGTTTTAGGTTTCAGAGTTTCTGTGGTCCCAGCTACCGGAGTTCAGAGTTGTTTTTTGGATTTGCTTTAGTGCTAACTCCGGCTGAAATGTTTTCTCCCGCCGCTTTGTCTTGCTCTTTGAAGGGGTCAGACGGGAGTGTTCAAAAGGGGAACCAAGGGGATAAACCACCAGCTTTGGGGGCGAGGCGACAGGCTACAGCTGGTCAAGGGTTAGGGAATTGAAGTTTCAGAAACTGAGCCATGTGTTTGACCGGTTCTGGGGTATATCAAAGTAAAAGAAGGGATTGTTTCCCTTCAACCCACTACGTAGCACACGCAATTTGTGGGGTGACTGTGACACTAGTAAGGTAAAGAGGCCGACTTTCCTAGAGGTTACTTTGAGCTGTAGGCAGTAGGTGGGTTTATCCTTTTGAACACTGCTTGTCACTTTCCAGATTGACGGACTGAACATGTTACGACGACCACTTCTTAGGGTTGACTATGGACCAGAATCATTGGCTCAGTTGTTCAGTGGCTCCCTTTTTCCCATTTGTTTGGTGGCTGCCCCACTAAAATGGTCCCAGCCCAAAAAAGGGTTCCCTTTTTGTTTCCAGGGTCACTGAACAACTGAGTTGGCAATGTTATATTGAGTTGAAGGCAAAAGCTGAAGACAAAAGAGGAGCTTGAGGCTTCCCCAGAATTAGCTGCCCCTTGTTTTTTGTTTTTTGGCTTTTTTGGGGTCCCTTTGTTTTCCACTCAGGCAAAAAACAGAGTTTTTGCTGGGGTTCTAATTGCAGCCTAGGTGGGTTCCTAGAAAGGCTTTAGAGCCTTGACCGCTGCGGTCGCCGCGGTCGCCAGGTGTTGGCTGTGGTCCCGACTGGGCGTTTCGCTGATGTCTCTGGCCGATCGCAACGCGTGGAGGGCTCAAGGGCCTTTGGGTTTGCCGGTGAAAACATCGAAGTCCCCAAATAGTGCCCTTTGACCAGCATGGTAGACTCTTGCGGTGAAGGTGGGGTTGATTCTTCTTGTTTTCTCCTAGATGTTGTCTAGCTCCCAGTAGTGCCTTTCTCACCCCTTTTTTGGGGGGAGGGTCCCCCTAGTAAAATAGACTACCGAAAAAAAGGTGGTACCCGTATTCTAACCTCTCTACTGGAGCACCTAGTCGAACACGGAGTACGTGTCTTTCTTCAGACACACTATCTTTCCCGAAGGAATTGTGGCCTTTACTGAATTTTGAAGTGTTTCGTCCTCTGTAAGATGCTGCGCAGATCTGGAAGTGCGCAGTGGACGTCCCTCAGTGTAGACACCTGGGCTTTGCTTGCTTGATGTGTAGCCGGAGTAGAGTATACATGTTTGCATGCTTCTAGGGATACCTTCCCCATTCTTTCCAGGGATGCTTCTTTTCAGGAAGCCATCAAAAACCAAGAGAAACAGCTGTTTTTTGAAAAGAACGATGGTTGAAAAGAATAGGGAATCAACCACTAGAATGCTTGGAGCCGCACCCGTTGCTGACAAAAACATCCCGCGTGAATTGCTTGAAGAGCATGGCGCTTGACGCATTCAAGCTCAGCATCCCACGTCTATTTGGTAGGTTCAAGCTTACAATGTGCCCATTTGGTCTACTGAGGCCGCCGCATTCGATCACAACTGTGCAAGTTCGAGTTGCGCCTTTACAACAGAAGAGTGTATGATCCATGCCCTTGTTTGTCTGGGGCACACTGCTATTCTACACTAGGCACTAGCTCAAACCAGTAGGCACCAAGCATTGCAGTAGGGCTGTCATTGGGCGCTGATGGCTGCCTGTTGGATTTGTTCCGATTCTGTCTTCGTGAATCATGTTACTGTTTAACGTCCCAGGTTGCTCGAGGACGAGAACAAGCGATTGAAGCAGGAGAGCAAGCAGACGGCTTTGTCGATCAGGGACAGCAATCAGAGCGCTGCACGTGCACCAAAGCGCGGGCTGTGGAGTGACCGCTGGCCCTTGCACACGATTATGAAAGAGCAATCGCAGCAAGACTCCCCCGTCTTCATTTGGGTGTTCGATGAATCTTGAGGGTACACAGTTTGCGGATCTTTCAAAGGAAAACCAATGTCCCGTCACCACACCATGTTGCGGCTTGCCCAAGTTCAAGACCAACTCGTTTTCATTTTACTGGGGGGGGAGGGAGGCCAAAACAGTGCGTTGGCTACGGATTGTCTTGGAAAAAGCACCCTCCAAAAACTTTGGTGGGCACAGATGCCTACGTTACATGATGTCCTGCAAAGGGCCCTCACTTGAAATGTGTGCCCTCAAGGGCGGGCCATGGCAGCCATTGTCGGTCTTTGAAGTTTTGGGCATGGCGCACATTCTTCCCCTAGGTTTTGCAATAGTGCCCTTTTACCCCCCACTAAAATAGACTACAGAAAAAAAAGGGTACCCTTATTCTAGCCTCTTAAATCTGGAGGACCTAGCCCCTAAGTTCCCCCCCACAAAAAGGAGATCAGAGCAAGCGGCCAAGGGCCCCCCGATTCTCCTCAGTGCAGGGGACATACAGGCCCTTAGAAGCCAGCAGGCACGAGTGCAGGCAGATAGATCAAAGGGTCTAAGCTTTGAGGCGAATACTGAGTCTAATTTGGAAATTGGATGTTTCAACTTGGATTTGGTTGGATTGGTTGGCTTGGTTTGTTGGTTTGGCTTTGGCTTGGGTAGACTTAGGAGACATTCTACATCGTACCAGTGACTCAAATTGAAGCAACCAATATATATATATATATATATATATTCTATAGCTGGGCCTAACTCTAATCATGTTGAGTCGGGGTGGCTGGTTGCTTTCACCGGAGACTCAGCTGGCTGCCAGGAGCTGGAGACCCTCGACCAGAACATCCGCAAAACGCAAGAGGCAGATCCGCAGATTCGAACTCCACTAGGTTCCCTCTTAGGTGTTGTAGATCCTGCACCTGGGTTTCGGTGCAATCTCCCGAAGGGTTCCTATGCGCTCCGGCCATTGCAACTCAAATCTTGAGAGGCCATCGAGCAGCAAAGACTGCGGAGCGCTCAGACGGGAGGCGAGCAGGCTGGCAGCCACTAGGCCCCCAAGTGCCCGTTTCTTTTTTGGGAGAGGGTTCCCCGACTAAAATAAACTGCAGAAAAAAGTTGAGAACCTAGTTCCAACCTCTTTTCTGGAGGACCTAGTTACTCTACTGGCTTGTTGTTAGTTTGGGGCCCGGACATGGGGACATGAATCCCACGTTTCCCTACAAGAATGCACTACAGAAAAAGGGTTTCTATCCTCTCTACTGGAGGACCTAGACCAGGAAGACAAGAGAAATATGCAGACCAGAAGGGGGTTGCCGCAACAAAAAATGTGTTGCACGTGTTTGGTTGGTTTTTTTTGCGACCCCCCAAATGGAGGTCGGTTTTGCTCTTGGCTTCCCTTTCAAAGCACCGAGAAAAACAAAACAAAAAACAGTGCCAACTCCGAAAAAGACAACAGTTTGAACAAGGGATGGGATCGAACCCAGGCTGGAGTGGTTGTCAGATCGCCGTGTTGGTTCGTTGAACAACTAAGTTGGAGGCCACACTCCTTGTGCCACGCACATCATTTGAATAGGGGTTTGTCTTGCTTTGGGGGACACCCTCCCCCAAAAAAAAAGTTGATTGTCCTTTTGGTTTGTTTTAAACCAACGAAAAAATGGGGTACCCTCCCCCCCCCCCAAACAAACACAATCCACCCAGAATAAGATTTGTTTGAGAGATAAGTCCAAGGCCGACCAATGCCTTCCACAAAAACTGCGTGATTGGATGCTGAATTACTCAACGGACCTGTACTAGGTCCCCCAGTAGTGCCCTTTAACCAATTTTTTGGGGGAGGGTTCACCTACTAAAATAGGGTACCCTTAGTCTAACCTCTCTACTGGAGGACCTAGTGTAATTCAACCCATCTCGCCTGCAACCCGGCATGCTACGCTTGTGCTGAAAGGATTGGGGACGGAAGACGCGGCATGACCACGACCTCCTTTGTGATTTTCTATTCGACACCCGTCACATGCTTTAAAGGGAGCCATCAGCCATCATGAACTCCATGTGGTTCCAAGCTTTTTTTAAAATCAAACTCGGGGTTCCCAAAAACGGTTGGTATTGGAAATCCCACCAAAAACGCATCCACCATCACAGAGAGGCTCCCACTGAGGCTGCACCAGAAGGCGCCACAGGCTGGGGTCTGCGGGTGTGTGGGGTGGGTTCGTGCGGTTGGAGCCTATCCTTTCTGCCTGGTTTTGTGTTTCTATAAGCTTTCTTTTTCTGGGACTGAACATTTAGATTGAACATAGAACCAACTTGTCCTTTCTGGTTATTTTTGTGGGACCGACCATTTAGATAGAACCCACCTGCTACGAGGTTCGTGGTTCTCGACATGTCCGGTTTTTTCGAACTATGTGCTGGTCCCAGAGCTCGTTGTGTGCCTGGTCCGAGAGTTTCTGTTTTTTTTCTTCTTGTGTCTATTGATGATCGCAAGGAGAGATCGGTATTTTGGGTTGGTTGTCCGGTGAGCCAGGGATGTTTCTGTAAAAGCCAACAAAGAGCTAACGAGGCACAAGAATGAGTGCAGCCGCCAGACAGCGCGAAGGGCACTTTCCCTCACTTCCCGAGTTCCTGGACTTTCACTCTCTGTTTGTTAATGTTTGGACCATGTTGATGGTAAAAAAGAAGTTCTTCGACTTTTGTTTGGCCCATCCACTCAGAAAAGTGCGTTCCTGAATTCGAAGCCAGCGACCGCTGCGGTCCAGGTAGAACCGCTGTCCTTGGCTGCGCCTGCGGCGCAACATGTGCAGCATGTGCCGGCGGCTGAGTTCGGGCCGATGGAGGTGATGAAAAGGTCCGGGAGACATGGGATGGGGTCTCAGCCCAGATAGGCTCCGGGGTGGTGCGGGGCGGCTTTGAGGTAAGGTTCCACGAGGGTTCCACCAGGGTTCCACCACATGCTGTTGGGGATATCACCTGAGCTTATTGACTACGGGGTAGACTTGAACCCAGTTGCCCATTTGGTGGAATCAACCGCGTTGACTAGGTTTTTCAGTAAGTAGTGCCCTTTCTCACCCCTTTTTTGGTTGGGAGGGATCCCTGCTAAAATAGACTACAGAAAAAGGGTACCCTTATTCTGACCTCTATACTGGAGGACCTAGCATAGGATGACCATTGGTTGGAAACCACCAAAAGGATGATATGTTCCACCGAATGTGGGAAAAATACCCATGGTCAACACTGGGGGCCTGGAATGTTCATCAACCCCCATGCAGTTGTTGCAATTGCGGCTGTACAGTTAGAAGAGTCTGCAACTTGGGCGGCGGTAGGCCCCCAGTTCGAGGCCTAAATAAAACCAAGCAGAAGCTCCGTGGGCAATGAGAAGGGCTCGCTTTGGTCTGGGTCTTTTAGTGCCCTTCACCCCGTTTTTGGTTGGGAGGCTTCGGGACCCTACTAAAATCGACTACAGAAAAAAACGGGTACCAACTTATTCTAACCTCTCTGGAGGACCTAGTGGTGTTTCAGAGTTTCCAAATATGCTGACATGTGGCTGACCGAAATCGGTTTTTTGGCAGGGACTTCTGGAACAGAGGTTGATTGATCACGGGTCACAAGAAACACGGCTTCTTTCATTCTTTCAGATCGTGTGGATATTTGAGGAGGTTTTTTCATAGTTAAGCCCTTGCGTCTTTGGATCTTTGGGACGAAGTTGTTTTTCCGCCCGCAGCCTGAGGGACCTGGAAGCCTGTGGTGAAGGTTTTGTTTTTTTTTGTTTCGATGAGGTTACGGTGAGCACCTTTTTGGAGGAGAAAGCAACCGGTACCTGTCAAACACCTTGTAGGCGCATGTCAGCAGAAACGAGAAAAGCAGCAAAGCAGCCCGGAAAACCTCACTCACGCAAGAGGAACTCAGCCTTGAGGCTGGCCAAGGAGGAAGTGGGGAGCGTTAAGCTAACGTCCTTGGTCTTATTGTTCATTTCCACCATCGCTCATGTGTGAGTCTGAGACACTTAGCAACAGGGCTGGGGGACCAGAATGGTCAAACCGTCACATGTGAGTGGCAAAAGGAAAACCAAAAGCAAGCCAATCATTCTTGGTCTCCTTCTACACGTCGAGACAAATGCAGCCAAGCCAAAAACCATTCTAGCACGCCATGAGCCATCTCACAGAGCCACGCAGGGAGTTGCTTTTTGGGCGGAATCGAGTTCCTAAATGTTCCTATGTAAGGTGGCACTTGTTTCATAGAGACAAACAGCCCAAAGTTCAAAAGTGTGTGCTGCTTTGCTGTGGCTCTTTGTTTCGTGACTGGCATGTGGGTGTGTTTTGCTCCGGAGCACTTCCCAAAATGGTGGTGTTCCTGTTGGTTGTTTCGTTTAAACAACCCAAAAAAAGCACAACGAATCTGGACTGGATTTCATCTTTGGAGTTCATGTGGCTCTAGGATGTACCGTCGTAATCCAAGAAGCAAACTACAGCAAGTTCTAAAAGACCCCCTGATTTTGATGGGAATTTGGCTAGTGTGCTGTAGAATTTCCTGTAGCTGGTTTCTACGACAGAAGCTGCCTTCAGAAAACGCACCAAAAGACGAGCCGCGGATTCGAAATGCCCGGAGCCGCAGCTGAGGCCGAAACCCGAGGGACCCCAGGCGGGATGGCTGTGATTTGGAGCCCTCTAGAATGCGTCCATCTTGCTGAAATGAACCAGCCATCCGTTTCCTTAGGTTTTTTCGGTCCATCTTGCTGAACTGAGTATTGTGTTACTTCCCGACTGGTTGGTTTTGAAGTTGGAATCGATTTCACTACTGGAGACATGTTCAAGCATTTGTTCTTGGCCGGAAAAACACATGGAGGAATGTCTAACATCTTTGAGGGCGTTGACCATCCCCGAAAACCCCACTCAACATAGTGATCAAAACCCCAGCATTGTGCATTTTTGTTCTTGACTTCTCTTTGAAAACCAACCCAAGAAGCAGTTTCAACTCAAAAACGACAGACCCATGTGTGCCATGGAAGCGACAGGGGTTAACTGGGATGGGGCATCCAGCTGATAGTAAGGATTCTAACCATTCTTCTAGGGGTACCTTCCATTTCCATTCTTTCCAGGGATCCTTCTTTCCAGAAAACCTCCAGAAACCCAGGGAAAACGGCTGGTGTTTGAAAAGAACGATGATTGAAAAGAATGGGGAATCAACCCCTGGAATTACCCTGTAAAGGGCACCATGACCAGGGCCCACAAACTGTTTTGACCATGGCGCATGTGGCTGTGAATCAAATTGTGTACCTTGCAGTGATGTTTCAGGACAAAATCAGCGTGGTTTGTCACGGCATATCAACTAGTTGGACCCCTCCGCATTGAGCAGGTGCGGCACTTCCATTTTGCCCAGGTGCTTTTGAATCATGAGCCTTGGTTTTAACGGCAGTGGTTTTTGGTCTCCTTGTTTTTTCCCTTTTTCGCACGGAGCAAATGGGGCTTCTTGGCCGAGGCACGCTGAGTGCAGAGGCCACGGGATGCGGTGTTGCGAGTTCCCAGTTGATTGCCTCACCCCCAAACTTGAAGAACCAAATAAGGCCAGGTTGAAACTCATGGTTGAGCACGAGACTTGACACCCATGCTTTTGAAAAATCATTTTTTTGAAACTCCGTGTTGATGAAGCTCCGCCTGTTTGACGTTTGCACATATCTCGTGCGCCTGTAACTTGGCTCCAGCCATCAGGTTCTGTATCTTTTGAGAGATCTTTTTGGTTGGTTGAGTGATTGGGCTTCCATTCTACGTCCCCAGTGCCCTTTCTCACCCCTTTTTTGGTCGGGAGGGTTCGGGACCCTACTAAAATAGACCACACAAAAAAGGGTACCCTTATTCTAACATCTATACTGGAGGACCTAGTCATTTCAGCCACAAAAAGTTACAGCGGGGGCACAGCTTAGAACCTGGAAGTCGAGTGCAGGGTTGGCTTGGCACCAATTTCCCCAGGTGGGTCTGTCATTTTTTGAGGGTACCTTTTTTTGGGGGGTGGAAGGGGTCAAAGGGACACACAGACACACACACACACACAACAAAAACAACATATAATATCCGCCATTGCTGTCCGGATCTTCTTAGAGTACAAGTGCTGTGATTTGTGTGTACTTTGTGCTCCTGTTGCAGCACCGGGACTGAACATGCATGCTCAAACAGAGCTGAGAGCACTTGCTAGCCTTGCGTTTTGTGCATGTGCCAGGATTGACCAATTGCCTGGCATGCATCCTAAGACAGCTGGCTTTGTTTACTCAGCATGCAAGGCAGCAAGAAGCCTCTTTTGCACGTCACACAACATGAATGTATTTTGCTTGAGGTGGTGCGGCTTGAATCTGTGTGATGAGTGACGTTGCATACATTCCTGCATAGGGAGGTCTAGAGGTATGGGATCAGAGTTGATGATGCACGCCAAGCAAATTTTGTTCGAGACACGCAATATATGTCTGCTCATGGTCCCTTGGTCTCATCGGCGGAGGCATATCACGGCCTGTGAATTGCAAGGCTCACACTCATGCTGACCTGCTGGGAAGCCCCTGCGCAACCTTAAAACACCAGCTACTCCCCTAGAACATGGAACCCAAACAACCATTTGCAAAGGAAACTCCTGGGGGACCCACCTCTATTCATGTTGTTTGTGGGGGAGTTGAATTTGGTTGCATTGTGAGGCTTGCCCACATCTCCACTGACTGTCGAAGTTTCAAGCCTCACAGAAGTCGGTTGCCTTTCATTGGTTTCAGCTGTTTTCCCTAGCACAGACAAGAGATGGGAGCTTATTCCCTAGTTTCGCTCACCGATCTTTGGCTTCGGAAAAGTCAGAACTTAGCTTCTGTCATGCGCGCAAGCGCACGAAAGCCAAAGCTCGCCTTTAGATGCCTTTTTGCAGCGCAGTGCATAGTCACGCGCGGCAGGAACTTCAACTCGAAGTTCTGCAGAAATGATGTTTTGCAGGGCTGCTTCTTGACTTACACAGGAACTTACAATTTCACATTGAATTCTGCCTTCAGCAAGTGGTTTTTCAGTGGCAAAGTGTTTTTCATTGGCATATCCCCCTCTTGAGATTTGGCCTTTGGTGTCTGCTCCTTCCACTTGTCTCAACATCCATAGGTAGGGCGTGGGAAATTCGAGGGGCAAGTTCCTTTGTATTACTTTTGTCAAAGATCCCTCATCCAGGCCCCCCAGTAGCGCCCTTTTACCGTTTTTGTTTTTTTTGCGGGTGAGGGTTCCGACTAAAATAGACTACAGAAAAAACGTTGGTATCTTACAGCTACGACGCATCAGATCTCAGATCTCAACCACAGAGAAGCCATCCGCATTGGATTTAATGCTCTGGAAGAATTGGAGTGCACCTGCAGCGGCAAAAAAGCAAAATGATGACCACAATTACACATAAAACAGCATTGTTATCCAATTGTCTACAACATGATAATTATATTGAAACTAGATAGTATTAGATTTGATAATTGGAAATTGATATGTTAATTGATTGTGTGATTCATTGTTGTGGTAGAATTATGTGGAATTTGAGATTATTGAAAAGTTTGTTGTGTTTTATATAGATATATATATATATATGTAAATGGTGGAATATTATTGGTAGTATAGGATTGGTATAGTAATTAGTATTTTTTTTAAATTAAGGTAGTTGATTATTTAAGGGGTATTGAAATTTAAGAATGTGGTTGATAATGAAATTATTATATTAATATATTGAATGAATTATATATATTATAAATGTTTATTTTTGATTTACTTTAATATTTTTGGTGTTGAATATGAATTGGACATTTAAATAATTCAAAAGCTTTATTGATTTGTTTTAAAAATTGTTTTAAATATATATTTTTGTTTTTGTATATTTTTTATATATTTATTATTTAATTATTATTAGTTGTTTGTTATTTTTTGTTTTTTTATTTATTTATATGTTTTGTTTATTTTATTTTGTTAATTGTTTATTTATAATTTTTTATTTAATTTTTTGTTTTTGTTTATTTTATTTAATTATTTTTGGATGTTTGGTTTTGCTTATTTGGTGAGTATTTATTTTTATATATTTGTTCGTTTTATTTTGTTTGTATTGTTTGTTTTGTTGTTTGGTATTGATGTTTGGCCTATTTTTAGAATAATGGGATTTTATTAATTTAATTTATAATTTAATTAATATAATTATTTAATATATTTAATTGATATATATATTTAAATTGTAAAAAAAAATATATAAATTATTAGATCTTAATTTAGCTAATAATAATATAACAATCTATAATTTAATATATTTAACTTTATAAAATTAAAATTATATTTTTTTATTTAGAGTTTTTCAAAATTCGTTAAAATAATTTCAATTTATTTAATTTCTTTTTTATATTAAACCATATTCAAATTTCAATATACATAATATGTTTTTTTAATTCATTTAGAACAATATATATATATATAAATTAAAATTCATTTATATTCTTAATAATATATATATATTCGAATTAATTTATTGATTTTTAAGAAAATTATATTATGAATAATTGTTATATTTAATATTCTATTATTTCTCAATAATATATTTCTATATTATATAATTAGTCTATTAAATTAATCCCAAATTTCATCAAATCATAATAATATTTACAAAATATAATCTAATTAAATATTAAAAATATCAATAACAATTATATAAATATATAATATTCTTACAATTATATATATATAATCAAATCTATTTATATATAATAATCATTAATATATTTAATATTATAGTTATATTCATAATTTAAATATAATTAATAAATATTTATATATATTATATATGAAATTTTAAAATTTATATAATATATAAAAATTAAATATATTTATTTATAATATTAAAATTATTAATCAAATAATATTAAATATATATTCTATATATTATAAATTATAATTAAATTTCAATTTACAATCATAAATACATTTATCCAAATATTATATTCCTAAGATTTACTTAGTTCTATTCCACAAAAACATATTTATATATGTTAAAAATAGAATAATAATAAATTATATTAATATTAATTTTGAAAAAAAAAAAAAAAACAATATAAATATTGAATTTTATAATTATAATAATTATAATATGTTTATATATAAATTATTAATTATTATATAAAATTTATTATATATATATTATGTTATTATAAGTAAAATATATTATTAATAAAACAAATAAAACAATATTATATTAGATGAATATACGAACAATAAATTATATTTATAATAATCATAATATTATACAAAATATATAAAAATCACATATAACATAAATTGGGAATTTAAATTATATATATTTAATATGATATTTATATAAATTATATATGTTGAATTCATAAATTAATATTAAAATAAATTCAATTGAATCTAATTCAAATAATTATTTTCTATTGCTTATTATTTCCAATAACGACCCATAGGAAAGCCAGGCAGCAACACCAAAAACACAACAAGCAACAAGAAACAAATAATTAGTTTATTAATGTTTTTTCGTTATTATTAATTTATTTATTGTTATTTAATTATTATTGTTTATCGTTATTTATATATTGTTGTTTGTATATTGTTATTTATATGTTTCTATTTCTTTGCCGATAATTATTTAATTAATTATTATTGTCAAGAAACTAATATAATTGTGATCATATTATTATATTTATCATTAATATTTATCATTTTGTTCCCTATTTATTTATCATAGTTGTATTCCCTATTTATCGTTTTTTATTTACATTTTGCTCTCAAATGAAAATTATGGCAATTGGGCCGAAACCCGCGTAAAAATTGTAAGAATAATCTTAACGGTCAAATTTAACGGGAATTGGAATTATTTTCAACTAGCAAACAACACACCTCCGTTAAGCATCATTAGTAACGCTATTGCCCCTTCCATAAGGATAATCAAGAGGGCGGGCAAACTAATGCCTAAGGCAATGCTTAAAACATAGTCTAAATTCTACTACAATATACATGTTTCTAAACAACCTTAACAAACAAACAATTGTGTCCACACTATAAAAGCTTCTAAGCAAATTCAAGAAGACATTTCGCCGACAAAATATAATAAGACAAACAAATCTCCAATTAAAGACATATTAATTATCTCACTAATAAAAACAAATACTATACTTAATCAATACTAAATCAAATACAAACTCACTTCACCTAGATCTCAAGATATTATTCTAGATACCCTTATCGTTAAGGGCCACCCATTATGCTCCTTTGTGGCTTCAAGCAACCGACATTGAAAACATGATTTTGGGAAATTGGACATTCTAGAGTTCGGGGAACGGACAAACACATTGCCAACAATCCAAACACCAAGTGTTGGCTTGGCTACCTCTCCGCTCCCCTCCGTCTATTTCTTTCCTCCTCTTTTCTTAATCTTATTTATTTTCCAAAGAACGATTAGACCTAGATTAATAAACAATTATCATAACCAATCACAAGATTAATATATCAACCTTTATACTATAAAAATAAATATAACGAATTCATTTTGTTAGGAATTCTTTATTCTTCCATACGCTCTTTAAAGATTGTTAATTATATATTAATACCAAAACAAAAATTAAATAATAAATTCCTAATAAATATATTGTTTTCTTATAGTGCGGCTACTCTCCTATGCCCCCCATAACAATTTAACCCCTAATTTTGCATTATATAAATATATAGTTTTATGTATAATTTCCAATTGCCTAATATCTTAATTATTATTTCAATAAATCAAAGAAATCGATATATATATATATATAAATGTGTATAATAATATGATTTGCATGCATATATATATATATATATCTATATATATATATATTTAATTATAAATATATATATCAAATAAATAAATAAACAAACAATAAATCATAATACACAAAACCAAACACATATAACAAAATAAAATAATATAAATAATAAAATACAAGCAAACAAATATAAATAAACAAATAGAAATATACAACCAAATAAACAAAGAAACACAAACAATAGAACAAACAAAATCAATCTTACAAACAAACAAATAAACATAAAAACAATCAACCAAAAACAAACAATCAAACAACAAAAATAGACAAACAAACAAACAAAGAAAAACAAACACACAGACACAAACAAACAAACAAACAAACAAACAAACAAACAAAAACAAACAAAAACAAAGAAATAAACAAACAAAAACAATCAAACAAACAGAGAAAAACAAACAAACGAACAACCAAACAAAATACACATGCAAACAAAACCAAATAAACAAACGAAAACAAATAGACAAACAAATAAAAAGACAAACAAACAAAAAAATTGAAATAAATAAATAAAAACAAACAAAGAAACAAAAAAAAACAAAGACTCAAAAAAACAAAGAAACAAAAAGCAACACAAAGAAACAGAGAAACACAAAGATATAAAATAGAGAGACAGAGAGAAAGAAAGAAAAAAAAAAAAAAAAACAATAAAAAAAGAAGGCAAACACGAAAATTTCGAGAAATTTCGAATCGAACAAATTCCCGAAAATTTGACCCGTTATTTTTTTTTGGAAAGCCGCTCAATTCTAAAGAAATTTGTGGGGATAACGTTTAGAGATCTACGAGCCGGATAGCTGGCAGATCACCAATTTAGGAAAATTTGGCCAGGTTATACCACGAGAATTCTAAGCAAAGATCTAAAGAACTTCCCAACATCAAAATTTCAAAGACTTCCAATCCAAGAATTTATGCCGCGGAAAAAAGACCGACACAAATATAATTGTTCGCCACAAATATAACAATTCGGCCGGAATACAACTACAACAACTCTATAATACACAAAAAACACGGTTTATAAAACAATTATCTATATTCTTTAACAATTGTAATTTCAAATCTTCATAAATTACATTAATAAATATATATATATAATTTAATTATTTTATATAATAATAACAAACAATAATAATATATATAATAATAATAATAAATCAACATAATAATAATAATATTACTAGTAATAATATATTTATTAAACCACTAAACCATACATATATATATATATACATATCATTCATTACCTTCACCTCCTTCAAAACACAAACAAAATAAAACAACACCAATACATAATCTACTATAAATAACACCTCAAAAACACATTTATCCACATTCAAACCAATATCAAATCTATAATAAATTCTCAACATTTATATATGCCATGTTTATATTCTTTTAATAATACTAATATTAATATATTATTTCATAATACCTTTAAACCCATTTCAAAAATAACACACAAATAAATAAATTTCTTCGTATAACCATTCCTATATCATTAATCCATTCATATACACCTCCATTTATCCATCCATATATCCATATATATGTTCCTATACATTTTCATACCTATCCCTACTATGGGGGTGGGGTGGGAGGGGAGGGTGAGGTGGTTAGGTGGATGGTTGGGTGGATAGTTAGGTTGGTTTAAGGCCGGTTAGGATCAGCTTGGGGTTAGTTTTAGGCTGATTTAGGATTAGTTTAGGGTTAGTTTAGAGTTAGTTTAAGGTTGGTTTAGGGTTAGTTTAGGAGTTTAGAATGGGTATAAAGTTAGGTTAGGGTTAGTTATTAGTGGGTTTAGCATTAGTTTAGGGTTAATGCTAAGGGTTAGGGGTGTATTAGTTTAGGGTTACGAATTGTAATCAAGCTATCCTATGTGTCAGAATGCAAAGGTGCGAGCTCAAGTCAGGGGCTTAAAGAGGGGGGCCGGGGGGGGGAAGGGTCCCTACTCTTGCGGGGGGTGGGGGGTGGGGGGGGGTTAGTGGCCTGGGGACTGGAACATATATATATATATATATGTTATATATGAAATATAAAATTATTGCACTGTTATTCTCACCACCATTATGAATATTGAATATCGATACTTGTTCAAGCCACACCCCACTTGCAAGTTCACTACCACTTCTGCAGCAAGATGAGGGATCTTTGGCGCGCGGCTCGTCGCGAGGCGTCCTCCAACTGGATCTTGTGTGCGCAGGAGGTTCTTCATGAGCTTCGCTCCCGGGAAAGCCTGCATGGGGGATGTGGTGGGGACGTTCAACAGAACGTTGGTCAGAACTACCAGCCTGCCAACAAAGGCTGTTGAAACACAAGGAGAACTTCAGGGCCTTACATGTCTTACATGAACCAGGGTCAAAATGCGCAAGTTTCCGTGGACACGGCTGAACATGAGTAGCTCGCCTTTTTTCCGTGGTCATTGTGAGATTGCTGTTGGTCCTCAAGTTGATCATCAAGTGGAATTTAACCGAACACGTAACCTAGGTCCTCCAGTAGAGAGGATAGAATAAGTTGGTACCCTTCTTTCTGTAGTCTATTTTAGTAGGGGAACCCTCGCAACCAAAAAGGGCAGGGGGACCTAGTAACTGACCCAACTTCACACGAGGATTGGGCCTCAGTCACGAGGTCGTCTTATGTGCCGATGAAGCCGCATTTGTCATCGTCGCGTGAAGTGGTACTCCATACGGACCTCGGGCAAGAAGGGTGCAAAGGCCAAAGCGTCGCGACCTCGGAAACAACTCCACGAAAATGGTCCAAACCCAAAAAGTGGGTAAAGTCCATGAACTCAGGGAGTGAGTTGATGTGGAAATGACTCCCCAAATAACAAATCTGGACTCTTGCGCACCCAAGCCATGCCCACTCTGTGGAAGCTGCGGACTCTGACGTCGAAGTCCTCGGAACGCGGCTCCGAGGCGTTGGGTTGGATTGGTTTGGGGCAGACCTTCGGCTTGACCTCTGCTTTTGTTTGATGTCATGGCAGAGCCGCATCCAGGGCTGAAAGGGCAAGGAACAGCGAGGGCCAACCCAAATGTGTCTTAGAACTGGGCCTGTTGTTCTACCGAAGGATTCTTGCAAAAACCACCGCTCATCCACTCGATTTCCATCTCAATGCCAACGAATCCGGAAAAGTTTCCAGGAACCTGCCGTGAGCTTCAGTCAGCTGCCCCGCAATCATCCGATCCCATTTCTCCTGTTCTTAAAGCCCGCGCATTGCACCCCGAAACCTCGAGTGGACGATGGATCGCCATCGTGCAGGGAATGGGGAGGACCATGAAGCTGCGCTGTTCTGCGGACCACTTTTGCCAAAAGGGGTCCACCTTGGATCTTTAGTCGCCCAACGGTCGAGCAATCCTTGAACATTGTGTTTGTTTGTTGCGGGAACACATTGAGAAGAAAGCGAGAAAGATGCCTTTGAACATTTAGGTTGGCCTGAGAACATGTCAGCGTGTCTTGCTGTTCCCCCAGCAAGGGCCCCGCATACGCACGCATGCCCACACCCACACAATAAATACAACACTACGCAGCACAACACAACATAACACAAGACAGGACAGCACAAGACAAGACAGGACAAGATAGCGCGGCATAAGACACGAAAGACAAAACCAGACAACATGACAAGAAAAGCCACTATAACAAGGCAAGACAAAGACAGCACCCGCCAACAAGACAAGACAAGACAAGACAAGACAAGACAAGACAAGACAACATACACATGAAAACACGACCCTACCACACAAAACACAAACACAACACAACACGAGAACATAACACAACGCAGCACATCGCAAAGGAAGGCAAAACTCAGCATACACACCCATGCCTGGACGCCCACAAAAAAAAAGAAATGAAGAACCAAATCAAAGCTAGTCGCCCAAAGCAAAGCCAGGGCTTCACATCCCCAGTGCTCGCCGATCCAAACCACCAACTCCAAGCAATTCACCTGGCCACTTGGTCTTGGTCAAAGTCAGAAACTGGGTAATCACACTACCCTTACACCAACCACTTGGGGCTGTCAGGCTCGACAATTTGCCGCTTCGCGGCGGTGGGTTGTCCTCCTTCTCCTCTAAGAAGCCCAAGTGCCGGTAGAAGGGCACGGCCTGCATGCAGCGGAGCCTTGGGGCAACCCTGTGGGCATGTTTTACCCGCTGAAACCCCAACCTGGAAAGCACCCCACACCGGTTCCACCCACGTCCAAAAGACAAGCAACACCCCCAAAACCCGGAAGCTGATCTTCCACTTTTCAGGTCCATTTCAGGGTGAAAACCAGGGCCACGGGGGCCCCCTGAGATGGCCAGATTCCTTTGTTTCCTCTCGCCCTGCGACCCTGGAAGCTGGGACCTGGGACCCTGGAAGCTGGGACCTTTGGCTCGACACTCAGGTCGACCCCGGATCTACGTAGAACCTGGGGGGTTTTGCTGGGGGGGGGGGTTCTGCCAAAAACACCCGCCTCAAAACTGGAACCAGAGAACCACACGGAAACTCTGTCTCCACCCCCACCCCCACCCCCCCGCCCCCCCGCCACCCTCCCCCCCAACCCCAGCCCCCAGCCCCCAACCCCCAACCCCCAACCCCCAACCCCCAACCCCCAACCCCCAACCCCCAACCCCCAACCCCCAACCCCCAACCCCCAACCCCCAACCCCCAACCCCCAACCCGCAACCCCCAACCCCCAACCCCCAACCCCCAACCCCCACCCCCCCCTTCCTTCCCCCACCCCCACCCACACCGGAGCCTCCGTTTCTATCCGGGCCAGCATCAAAACCAGGAAAATGCAGAGCCGACACTTTCAGTTGACAGCACTCAAAAGAAATAAGATGTCGTGCTTGTTCTTTCCTGCGGCAAGGACAGGGCTTGTGAATAGCATATACAGCGCAAGCACCGTAGAAGAAATCATTGTATAAGAAATTGCAAACCAAGTAGGTTGCAACTGAATTTGCTGCTAAGAAATTGAGCCGCCCTGGACTCTTCGTCCGATTTCTTAGCAAACTTCTGTGATAAAGAGAGAATTTTTGACCATCAGGGAAGTGCCCGTTAAGAAATCCAGGGGCTCAATCTCTTGGCGGCCTTTTCGTGATGAAAAACGTCTAAGAAATTCAGGGGCTCAATTTCTTAGCAGCCTTTTCCTGTGATGAGAGGCTCAATTTCTTAGCGGCCTTTGTTGGTGTAGTGATATCACCCCCCCTGCATTGGTTCAATTCCCGGCGCGGGCATTTTAGCGGTTGAAAATGAGCCGATGGTCAAACAGGGGACCGAAAAGGCCGCCAAAGATTCTTGCAGGCCTGGACGCTCGCACTGTGTCCAATCACGCAAACCTGTGTAAATGGAAACACAGGGATTGGGTAGGGAGAATCCTACCGAATCTTCACCGCCCAAGTGAAAGTCTCTCTCTCTCTCTCTCTCTCTTAAATGAACCCTGGCAAACACTCCATGTTTCCAGTATCATCTAAGCCTCGGCCCCCCTAAAAGCGGGTGCCAATCTTCACATGGCCACCAATCCGGCCTCAGGTGTTGCGGATAGGCTCACTCGATTACATTCCTCGGAAGCCCGGAGTGGTCACTCAAAGCTGTTGTCAAAAACATATTGCGGATGGCTCAAAAGCAATGGTACCATTTTGGGCTAGGTGCACCACCCATTTTAGTCTATTTTAGTGGGGATTGGGATGCTCGCTGGGGGTACGGGCTTTTGACCCATGGCCATATTGCGGATGGGCAAAATCCGTTTCGCAGCCGTCGCGATTGCTGTTTGGTCTTGTCGAGGGTCCGTGCAGCAATGGTTGGAATTGGATCGGTGGAGATTCCTTGTAACACATTCCACACCTGATCCACGGTTCCCTTGGCCTTCCACCCAGAAAGGGTCACACTTGTTTGCCGTCAAAAGTGGGCCCAAGCGAACGTTGCATGAACGAACACAAAGGACATGGGGACATAAGTGAGTCCCCTGTGTTTGGTGGAACATGGTTCTGGAAAGTGGAACAGCGATTCAATCCTCACATAAACATCTCTACTCTTGGTATGGGCTTGCGAACAACTTGTTGTTTTTTGCAGACCAGTAAAACTGAACAGAACCAAAAAGCCCAAAAAACAAAAACATGAGCCAAGAACAGCGAGGTAAAGAAAGCACGCTGCATTGCAACACAACTGCGTCTCAAACAGGGGGAACCAATGCTCTATGGAGTCATATGCAACAACCTGGCGTCGACCTTGAAGCTATCCATCGACTTGGCTTCTGTTTCTTGCTTTAGAAAGCCACTGCTAACACCAAGGGTTGAAGCTTCATCCTCAAACCTTTTCTCCTTCCCAGGAATCTGTTAACTCCTTTCGGTTGCAGGAATGTACATCGGTGGCAAGTGCAGCTAATTTGAAAGGAAACCAATCAGCCACCTGGGCCCGAATTTTGAGAATCAAAGCAACTCAAACTTCGACATAGCCCCCTGGTGACACTGGATTTCAAAGACTCTGACTCCTTTTCGATTGCAGGAATGTACATCGGTGGCAAGCGCAGCTAAATACCAATCGACCACCTGGACCCGAATTTTGAGATTCAAACCGACTCAAACGTTGACATAGCCCCCTGGTGACACTGGATTCCTGCAAACAGGACATGGGAGTGGCCTC